ATGTCTATCGCGGCGATGAGAGGCGCCGATTCAGGAAATACATCGGTGACATCCGCGCCATCAGCGCAGTAAAACCTACCGGCACCCCGCCAACTCGCCGCCGCTAACTGCCGCTAACGCTCCCATTCTTCTACTGCCGAGAGAACTTCCGGTTCCGGAAACTGGGTACGTCACGACCGTCAAAATTACGCCGCAACTTGATTTGCGGTCAATTGGAGAGAAAGAAAAACTCAATATTTCATTAATTTTTGTGTAGAAGTTAATAAACCGAGACGAAAACGGATTCCTGTTCGGCATTCAGTGAACATCGACGGTTTAATGTAAAAGTTATCTGGCAAAAGTAAAAAGGTTCTTTTATTGTCCCTTTGAGGGTAAACAAAAACTAATTCCCTCAGCAAAAAAAAAAAAATTTCTATGCGTGCGCGATATTTCACACCTTTGGCGCGTTGCCCACGCGCGATGGCCCATGGTGGCCCATCCAGAACGATAGCCGACGTGTGTGTGGGATTGAAGGTTTCTCACCTCATGTGGGCAACACAGCGCAGCACAGGGTGCTGCAAAGATTGCCAACTGCCGTACATAGGGACCCAATGCCCACGTAAGCAACACGGTTCTCGCAGGCGGTACGGCGCAAGCAGCAGACGACGGAGCAGCCACACTCAGTGCTCACATAATCGCTCGCACGCGCCGCTTGAGGGCGCGCGCTACTTTCCACAAAGGTCCATTGCGAGTGAACTCTGGCTGAAATATATGGAACCTGTGGACTGTCACTTTTGTAAACAGCTGAAACGTGCATACTCCATCTCATGATTGCATGCAGCAGAGGCAAAGTCCATAGCTGCTCTCCGAGCCTGGCGTAAGTGAAGCCACCAGAATTTCGATGCTTGTCCCGGAAGTCAGGCGTGTGCTGGGCTTCCTAGTGCATTCAATCGATATTTTAGTCAATTTTGTAGTGCTTTTGATTAAATTTTAATACTCCCGTCCTAAATAAAATACCTTGAATAAGGCATTTGAACGTGGAACATACCCATACTTGATCAACTAGAATCTCCAAATTCCCACATTGAATGGCTTCCCAGGAGACTTCTCGGGTTCTCATCCACTGTTGCTCCGCAACAAGCAGGCTCTCTTGGGTTGACAAGAAAATAATCCAGTGCTCTGAACGCTGTTCGATCCAGAACTCGGAAGAGTTGAAAGGCTGTCAAGCGCTTACTTCCGGGACAAGCCGCTTACTCCGGTGGCTTCATACCTGTCTGCTCAATGCGACACCCAGCCCCCTAAGGTGGAGATCAGTGGCAAAAGCACAGGCATACGTACGCGTGGCTTCCAGATTTGCCTCCCTTCTACGAGCATGCACTCGCGAAAGAAAAGCAAATCTGAAAGTTATGTGCCCGCTTATGCCCTTTCCTTTGCTGCACACAACTCCTGAGAGAGACTAAGCCTGTATCCTGACCACAGCGCCACTTTTGTCGTCAGGCATGAGGCGGCGGCACGTTGAACTACATAAGAACGCTCTGTTCGCCTACCCCTATAGCCACCAAAATGAAGCCACCAAATAAATTTATCGTAGTCTAAAAGAGTATGCGACGAGAACCTGGGGGAGCAGGACTAAAGTATTCAATAAATGAGGGGCTTGGTAGCCGAGTGTGTTAGCGGACCTCAGCTCGGAGAACGTAACGCCCCTGGATAACGCTATGCTAGGAAGCGACCAATCCTCCTCCCCCGCCCTCCTCCCCTCCGGCGGGTCGCGTAACGTGACAATTCAGATAGAACAATGCTGGACGCGGGTTGGTTTTTGAACGCCACGGTACCAAACCGTTCCTCGAGAGTGAAATCGAGTCAAATCCGCCATTTTTTTTTCTAACGGGAAACGGAACGCGGGCAGGGACCAATGTGAGAGCTCGTCGGCACATCAATCGCTGTCGCTACTTAGCAAAGCGTTAATCGAGGGACTTTAGGCGAGCGTGGAAAGAAAGCTCGCGCTGCAGAACCCAGGGATCCTGGGTTTAGTCCCCCTGCCTCTTTTGATCTAAAGGAACATTGTACCCGGCGTGGCGTCGTGTATTCTGTGTTGTGAACGTTAAAGACCCCAGGCTAGCGGTAGTAGTGCACTGGCGAAATTTCTCACCTATAGCGGAAACCAGTGTCGTCGCACATCACAGGGGGACCGACCTTTACGCTGTCGAAACAAGAACTTCATTGTTTTTTTATTTTTATTTCGCACTCCTTAGATTGGGAGGTACACTCCGCGACTCTCTTAATGCGAACCAGCGACTGCCGGTTTCCTCTGCTTTTCACGCTGTATTGAAGGACTGAAAGTGTTTTTAAGGGTGGAAAGTGATTTGTTGGCGTACTAACATAAGTGGTAAATCAAAATGCACGCCAATACCTTTTTTTAACTAAAATTGAAAATATCGACGATGTCGCGCAGTGTACCTTTGTAGCGTGACCTCTCGTTCCTCAAAAGACATGCTTCAAAGCCACAAAATGTCCGATACGTAATGCATTCAGAAAGAAACTAAGACTTGGAAGGCCATATGTTATCCACAGTCACTTATGCTTTATTTGAGAATAACGTTCTTAAAACATTCTCCTTCAGAAAAAAAAAAGAAAGACATTACAAAACAGGGCTCTCTTTTAAAGTGACTCTGAGAGTTTCACGCAAGTGTTTAGGTATCCGTGATGACGTGACAGGATTACGCCATTCGGCGGATTTCTTAATTTACTACCGCGTACATCGACGAGACATTGCATGGACCAGCGCGCGGTTTATAAAAACGCCCGCTTTGGTCACACGCGGCAACCACACTCGTGCGAGATGAAGCGTCTCTGCGCATGCGCAGTGCCGACAGCAGCGCCACCATAGTGTCGTGAGGTCAGAGACTCGGGTTGGCCTATAGTCGCCGACAGCTTAGGACAGGCGGGACGTGGCGAGTTCCGGACATCTTATTAGCGTCCCGCAGCCAATGAGGTTGCGACGTCGGCAAACGTCAGAATTCCAATCAGGAACTAGCAAGGGTAAACAATTTAAGCCAAGCCCTCCGGTTTTTTTTTGTTTTTTTGTTTTTTTTTTACGTTTGTCGGTAACTATAGACGTTTTTGCAAGCACGGTCTCTGGGCGCCGCCATCTTGATGCTGGTATGGGTAGACCGTCTGATAGTCAAGCATTGCTGTGGCGTACGGCCTCTGGGCGCTGCCACCTTGCTGCTGGTGTGGGTAGATCATCTGAGTCGAGCATTGCTGAGGCGTATCTGCGGCCTCAGCAGTGCTTGACTATCAGACGAACTGTCTACCCACACCAGTAGCAAGAAGGCGGCGCCCAGAGGCCGTACGACTGAGCAATGCTTGACTATCAGACGGTCTATCGACACCAGGAGCATGACTGCGTCGCCCATGGCCGCACGCCTCAGCGATGCCTCACTATCAGAAGATTTATCTACCCACACCAGGAGCAAGATGGCGTCACCCAGTGGTTGTACGCCTCAGAAATGCTTGACTATCAGACGGTCTTTTCACACCAGGAGCATGATAGCGGCGCTCAGAGACCGTACATGCAAACGTCTAAAGGAACCCGCATTCCGAGGTATAAGATATGCTGTCTGAATGAATGTCGCGGTCTCGTCGTAGTGGTCGCAATGGTCGGTTGGGTGATATGTCACAGAGGCTCGGCTCTCGTGACTCGACGGCACTCTGCAGTGATCGTGGCTACTTTGACAGAGGATTGTATGACGCTTTTTTTTTTTTGACAAAAACTGCAGTTAAGCTTACACGCGACAATAACACTCGTCTTCTCGGAACACTGAAGACTTTGGAGAATCAAAATATGACGAGGCAAAGCTTTTTCAAAGGAAGAACACCACGCCTTCTTTTTACAACCATTAAAAAACATAGATTTTTTTAGTCACTACTTTTCCAATGTACCGGCACCATAAAAATAGTCTGATTTATTTATTATAATTTACTCATTTAAACATAAATAAACTTGCGTAGGAATGAAGCTCTTAAAAATAATGTGCCCGCGAAAAGACCAGGTACGTTTTTTTTTCTTGGTTGTTTTGGTCATTCGTAACTGAAATAGTTTTCGGGAACTATTCTAGCACGTCGTTTTACGCAAACTTGACTCCACGGTAAAATTTTGTTTTATTTCGTGTTATCGTTAATTAATAAAGAACATAATCACTTTGCAGTTATTTTATCCCAGTTCGAGAAAAGCTTTAAAACTTGTAAAAGCACGCTCATGCTCAATCATTGGCCTTACTTAGCAGTTTCAATAAGTACCTAGTAAACTCTACCTAAGAAACCACAGGGTTTAGCACCCATTTTCAATTGAAACAATCAACTTTACACCTTTAAATATCTGGTGTTAATATCCTTGATGTCTTTGAGCTAATGCTTCATACCTCAATCAAACCATGTCTAATTAAGCTCATTGCGTTCCTAGAGTAACTACGAATGGGCGAATCGCAGAAAAGAATGATAATTATGCTCGAATAAATATGACAAAAGAATAAAGTGCCATACTATTTTAACAGGTCTCGGGGTAAACACGGAGTTAATACAGTGACACCCATTAATATCGCAACCGGCAAACTTAAATGCGAAATATATGTATATTCAAGCAAACAAGCAAAAAAGTTGGAATGTGTAAACATCAGGAAACTGGTGGTATATTTTTCTCGGGACGAACATGGACCACTTTATGTTCACAATACACCAAAGCGTTAAGCATGAGGCAGGTAAGAAATGTATGTGAATATTCGTGAATAGAAACACTTCCAAATTAGGCCTACCAAAAAAAAAAAAAAAGAAAAACAAACGACAATCTTTGAAGTTGTGCAAGATTTGAAACGATCATAGCAAATCGAAGGTTCAACTAAACAATGTCGAAATCGTGTTTAAGTAGTCTTATCGAAATGAACTGAGTCCGTTTCTTTCATCGTTCTTTTTTTTTTTTTTTAACATTCGAAAGATGAACAGCACGAACCAAAGTGAAAACAAAACAAAAACCTGAGTCAGCCGACAAAACATTCGGAATATGAAAAGCCATGAGTATCAAGACTTCCGTGGTTATTTCCCCAAATTGAAGACGTCTTCAACCTATCGTGTTTCGGGACTGTTCAATTTGCAAACCTAGTCCTCGTGCTGTGATGACATTGGGAGGAGGTAGGAGAGTGTAACTAGGAGCCAGTCGAGGGTTGTTGCCGTTGTGGCTATTTCTTCTTCGCACCCTTTCCAGGCTTTTGCCAGCGAAGCTGGATTGTCACTTCCACGAGCGGTTGTCGAGAAGACTGGCAGCGCTCAAACACCAGTGCCCGCTTGAGGAGGTTCCGAGCTCGTTGCCACATCCTCCTCCTCTTCCTCTTCGTCTCTCCGCTGGGCGACCTAAGACATCGAGTAACAAATGAAATGTAAACGGTGTTCTTAGAAATCTCAGTTATTACATAGTAAGGCGACAGCTGTCATTGCCGAAGTATGCTCACAGGTTTGGCGAGTAAACGCCCCACTACAAAAAAGGCCCCGCGTCTACTTTCCCGCACATTACTCGGAGAGCCAATCACCGGAACTTACGGAGGCAGCTCAGCGAATGATGATGTCGAAACATATGTTTAGACCAAAAACGCAGTCTGAGTTTTGACATTAAGCAAAGCAAAACGTCACCCTTGCATAGCTTAATGTCACAACTCAGACTGCGTATTTTGGTCTAAACATATGTTTCGGAATCGTCATTCACTTAGCTGCCTCCATAAGTTGCGGTGATTGGCTCTCCGTGTGTTGTGCGGGAAAGTAGACCCACGGGCCTTTTTTTAGAGTGCACCGCGTGCGTAGGGATCAGTGACCTGTCTGCTAGCCGTGCACGCCTGCTGCGTTCCCCTTTTTCTTTTGTGCAAATAAAAGATTGATCGATTGATTGATCGTAGAAGATCTCGGGTGCGTCTTGTGTACGCCTTGACGAACTTATGTGAACTTAAACACGGCAGTGTAACTACGGTGCGCGGAACTGGTCGTAGACTTGCGTGTTTAGCATCCATTCCGACCCATACGTCAAAAGTGGCCCCGAAGTAGCAACAAATAACATCACAGAAGCCGGCCTGTCGTGATGTCGGATGTCACAATCTTGGCAGTTGGTGCTAGAAGTCCCTGCTAAACAGTACGAGCGAACGCGAGTGTCGGTGTCGTCGTGGCGTCCCGTCTCCTGACTGCTGAATCTTCCGTCGGCTGTCAAGCTGGAGAGCGACATGCAGCAGAACAGGCGTCTGCCATGTACACAACAACTGTTGGGACGCCGCCAGGATCGCGACAGGCGACCACGTGACACTTTTGGGACGTCATCAGGCGGAAATCCAGGGACAACTTTTGAGGACACGCTAAGGACAGCAGTCGGAAACGCGTTCTAGGTATATGTACAACAGTCTAGCTTTGCGCAGAAGAGTGCGCAACGAAGGGTGCAGCGGCTCGGCTGTTGCCGCAGTTCACTCGCAGAAGAGCGCAAGAAACCGGATATTAGTGGTTTCGCACTGATTCCCTGGATATCCCTAGATATTTACTTCTTTTAAAATTGGTGTTTTGGACAACCATGACTCAAGACATGCCACTTGACCCTTTTTACCTGGTAGGATGGCTACACTATTCACGTAATAATCGACCGAACAAAAGGGATAGATAGTTTCCTACCCTAATATGACAGGAGCCTCCTTAAGCATAACAAAAAGGAAGCGTGCGAAGGCGTGAAATGTAGTAACTAAAGATAGTCGAATGTGCGCTATTTTAGTAAAATCAATTAACATGCTTTAGGCCAACAGAACAATTCAAGCCGTACCTACACTAAAATGGTAATACAGGTATCAAGCAACTAAAGTAAACCAATGCAAGGCGCACCTTCATTATGGTTTCCGAGTCTGCCAGGGCTTGTTTAGCCAGGTATCGCTCACGCTTTATCTTGAGTTCCAGCTGACTCGCAATGTCGGGCACCAGGACGTCGATGAGTCGACACACCCCAAACACGACGTGCTGTAATCGAGAGAATGACACCGGGTGGCTCTCCCTTGCACCGACCAATACTAAAAGAAAAATGTACATATTTCCAACTGGGTCATACATATTTCCAACTATACATATTTCCAACTGGGTCACGAGAGAAGTGGAAATATGTACCCATGGACCACGGAGCTCAGGCTAGATTTTTGCCCCGCGCTTAGCGCTCATTCACACTGGAGGCGGATCCGCGTTCGCAAAGCGGTTGCGAACGCGGTTGTATAAAGATGCAGTGCAATTTCACGCGATCCTGATGTCATCGAGTGCGCGCGCAATTGTACTGGATCTTTATACAACCGCGATCGCAACCGCTTCGCGAACGCGGATCCACTTCCAGTGTGAATGAGCGGTAAGGTTTAGTTCGATTTATATAGCATGTCGTGGAGAAACAGCTGGCTAGCACTTTAACACGTGACAGAACTGGGTCTTTTTAATAACTTCCCGTGCAACTGTAACACTCTAGATAGGCGAGTTAAAGTGCGATATCATACTAGGAAAAAAATCATCGCCTGTGCATATACAAGCGAAAAAAAAAATGCAAAACAAATTCAAAATAGTGTGCACAGCCCATTCCGAGGGAGAAAATGAATGTGCGTAGAGTTTGTTTCTTCGGAGGGAGGAAACAAAGAAAGCTAAAGCACATTCAAAGCTCACTTTCGGGAGCTCACTCTTCAATAAACTCATGGCGCTCGTTGTATGCGTATACTAGGTGTATGCATTAAAACTAACCATACGTGGATCGAGTCCCAACTGGTTTATGACCCGTAACTATCTTCACCTTTTTTCGAGCTCCGAGTTGAGCGCAAAACGTACTGAGGTAGTAGTTCTTGTTGTTCCACAAATTATTCGTACCAAACCGGAATGGACAGGAAAGCTGCCCATGTATAGTTATTGTTATTCCACAAAATGGTTCGTACCGGTATAATTACTGATTTACATAAAATGTGATTGATACTGGAACGCTGTTTTCTGTTTCGCTCTTGCGACCACTTCCGGAGGTGCGCTTCGGCAAGCCCAACTTCGTCGATTCCCGAAGTATGCGCTATTATAATTTCGTAAGTTTACCTTTTAAGGGACACGCAGCTACAACCCCAGGGGCATATGTATACAACATCATTTTGTTTTTGAAACTACAAGGCCTTCTCTTTCAAGTGAAATGTCGTGTACATTTACCAGCTCTCTTCTACGTCTCGCATAAAGGCGGTGTAGTAAAACTGCTCGTAGCACCGTAGCTCATTGTGGCTAATAAGAAGTTGATCTGAAAACGACGACCGACTTAATACCTCGGCCAAATAAAATTTAAAAAGAAAAAAGTTCTTTGACAATGCTTTTGTAGAAAATAATATTGGCGCTATGTCGTTCCAGGGTCTCTAACAATCGAAAATGTTTCCGGGATTATTTTTCCCACTGGATTCAGTTTTTATTCGAAAATAATCTGACGCTACAGTGGCCTTACCTCAAATATGATTACAAATGCTAAGCGTACTGCCAGCAGCTTCCAGTGAAAGAACGTCCAGTTACCGTTGGCGTCTCTGAGGTCTCGGTACCTGGACAGAAAGGTCACGCAGAAGTCACAGCTTCAGTTCGAGGTTATTATCACCTGCCAGAAGAGACTCTAAAACAAATAGCGCTTTCATCTAATTTATACAAATTTCAGCCTTATCTAGTAAAAAAAAATTCAGTTACATGACCGAACAATTTTTACACTGAGAAATATGGATACAAACCGGCATGGTAGAGATAGGCTTCCATTAGGAGCATGGGCCAGAGTGAAGTTGATGTATCCTTTGAGGTCCCAGTCAAACTCGTACCGGTACATCGTTCTCGTCAAGAAGTCTGAAGTGAAGGCGATCAAAAAGGCCTGCAATGACGGCGGTGCAAAGCGCCAAGTTTTATTTGAGAACATCGAGCAAAAATAATTAAACGTTGTTATTTTCTAATGTTCTTTCTACTCCAAAGATTCATAAAAAGGTTTTATAACCAGTTTGAATTTGTGATCAGTTATAGGAGTCCATGATATTTATGTAATAAAAAAAAAAAACTCTCAGCCTTTCCATTCTGAAGAAAAGAGAGCAGTGGAGCTGTACTATCTGCCGCATCTATGAATGACAGTGGCAACCGCACAGCCGGCCAGCCGGTTGTCTGTTTGCCGCCGTCGATCATAGATGGTGGTAGCTGTCCAGAGGGTTGTGTCGAGATTTATTTGTCCACGGAAACAAAACTGGGGAAACCAGCCCTTTAAAACTCCGCTGTAAAAAAAAAAAAAAAAAAAAGTGCAAACATAAACGACAGCTCGCGCAGGCGCCGCGTGGTGTGGACGTGTTGCATTCAAAAACGACACCGACACCAGTTCCGCGTCTGTACAAAAATTTAATTTTCTTGACGCCATCGCAGGCTTGAGCACACTGCATTGCAGAACGGCACTTCTGCCGCTGGATATTTATTGTTTTCTATGCCCAATGGCCCACTTCAGATAATCTGTACTAATTAAGTCGCTTAATGGGAATTTCGAAAGGGCTTAATCTAAAACCAATGATAAACATTTAAAAATTATAAAAATATCCAAGGGTGGATTCTTAAGGAGTTCGTTACATGATTCTTGGAAACGCCACGTACGCCCCCTTTAAAAAAGCTAGCGCTGATCCCTTCAATTTTTTTTGCTTTCTCTTTTTTTCCCTCTCTTTAGCCTCGTTACGGGGTCAGTGATAGAGCTTCCCAGAGGGCAACGTGTGCGGCGTCTCCCAAGGGTCATGCTAACGGATTTCCTAAAAATCCAACAATGGATCTTACTGTAATATTTTAACCCCTCTTCGGTACCCTCTGCGCGTCAGAACACCTTGACACCCCCGGACACGGTTATCTATATCACTCGTGGAAAGAACCACATCCATACCACTTTTGCAAGCAACCGCATCCATATAACTCGTAGAGGGAACCATATCTACCGTTTTAACTGCACACTCACATAACAGCCCACGCACAAATACTACGGAAACCCAGAGCGAAGAAAAACCGGCGACGGCAGAGCAGCAGCTGTGCCCGCGCGTCACAAGGGCGGGGGGGGGGGGGGGGGGGGGGGGGGGGAAGGGTGTGAAACGTTGCTCTCAAGGAGAGGGGGGGGGGGGGGGGGTGAAGGATTACGGCGGGAACGAGAGCGTGAGGGGGGGGGGGGAGGGGGTTCGCGGCGGGATGCAGCCGCGGTTGTCGCTGACCCTAGTGACGCCAACTCCAATGGTGAATTCGGCTCGCAAATCTCGAGCGCTCCAAAAGCGCTCCATTTGGAGCGCGCATATTCCGCTCGCAGATCTGGCAGGAGTTGGTCATCCTCCGCTCGTAGATCTTTGGCAGCGCCCTCTCCATGGAGCGCCTCCAACCCCGCCAAACTCTCTCCGCGGGATTTCACAGATATTTGCGGAAGTTGACAGAGCGCACTACGTCCTTTCCTTTTAACTCGTCAGTGCGCGCAGTGCGCATGCGCGGCAAAGTTGGCGAGGTCGCCGGACCGGTCGGGCCGTCGAATGGGATCTGCTCGGATGCGCCGGTTGTTTACGCGGGATTGTGACGGCTCGAACGCTTCTACCTCGCGTAGATCAGGGATACAAAGCCGGGATTGGATCGTGGCAGATCGTAAGCGTTGACATCTGTGATAGTGAGGGGCGAACGAGAAAAAAGAACGTCAGAAAATCCGGAGGCAGACGTAAGGTTAGTCTTGTTCATTCTGCAGCCAATGAGTGTTTACCTTTTTATACTGCATGCCACCAGCGTTTTCTCGTGCAATAAAGCAAGAACAGATTAAGCAACGACCGTGCAAGTAATGTTTTGTTACCTCTTTGGGTTTATTCAAGTCTTACCAACAATCTGAACTCCACCAATGGTGATCGCTGTGCGTGCCCCGCCGCTTCGAGGCGGCCGAAAGGTATGTGACGGTGGCTAACGCGGACGTCTTCCTCGTTATTTGTCACACGGGCTCCACAGTACGGACATTTTCGCCCGGCCTGTGTCGTGAGTTATTTTTGCAGCTAAACAGTGACAGTTGTGACTGGTCGCCAGAAAGCTCAGTCGGCTGAGGCGTTGGTCGGCTTGTCAAGTCCGAGCAGCGGCCATTTTGAATAGCCGACCGTCTCGAGCGAATCGGTGGGTCGCTCCAAAAATGCGTGTCCATCTTCCGCTTGTCGATTCAGAGCGGGTGCTAAGAGCGGAATTTTGCTTCCCTCGCGGATTTTAGAAAGCGCTCCGGATCTACCAGTTGAATTCACCACTAGATAACAAAGCCGTAGTGCTGAATGAGATGGCGTCATCAGAAAAGGCCAACGCTGGGACCAGGCTGGACACGACGATTACGTCAACGTTCGGCTCAGAGTTCAAATTTGACTCAAAGCCGAGCCCTGACGCGGCACTCCTTTTCAATCTGTGTCCACTGTTGGCCTTCTCTGAGGACGCCATATCATTGCTTCGTTATCTAAGGGGCGTTGAGCGACGACCCCTCCTCTCTGGCTCCGCGCCAGCTTTGAGCGTGGCCTTGACAAAAACCAAAGTGCTCGTTTTGAAACAAAATCCGGCAGTGTCTTTCAGTTTGTCAGCCACAGGGAGAGAGAGAGAGAAGGAGAGGGAGAGTTTCATGTGTGCTGACTTTAACACTTTGGACGAATTGGAGAGTCGTACGCATCACCATCCCCCTCTGGTCCTTCCGCTCTTCATGTAGCTGATAAACGAGACACCGCCGGGTTTTCGTCAAAACGAGCGTTTTAATGCTAACGCATTAAAACAAATTTTCTAGTAACTAACAGGCTAAGAAGACAGCAGCAAATGGCGCTCAGAGAGATTCAGATCACCGCACCTGCCAATCGCGTTTTCTCATTTCCTATAGAGCTTTGCATCGCTTATCACGCGGGCGAAAAATGCCGAGCAACTGAGCTGTGGACGCATGCGCAGCGTCTGATATCCCGCACAACGAAGCTACAGCGCATGCTCAGAAGGTGTTCTACAGTCAAGCAGACAAAGATGGCAGCGCGCAGAAGGCGATTTTTCCAAAAGTCTATACGTCATTGACGTCTTCGTTCAATATGGCAGCGACCGCGGGTGGCGACGGCGACGCCGGGTTTGCGCGTGTGCTTTTTCATCTTTTTTACATATCCATATTTACGTTGCAAAGTTGTGCCGCTATCCACCCTTCTCTACAATAGTATCTGTGTGACGACGTGAAAGTCCAACGGCCGTGTCGTCGTCCAAGTGTTCAGAGCGCCCACTTCAGCGGGGCCTATACTTTGTTTCACCCGAAGTCCAGACGCAGCCGACGCTACGAACTAAAGCGGCCGATCAAGCAACGCCAAAAGCGTGAGTCACTGGGTCTTTTTTGTTTATGATTGATAATGAGCGATGATAGAACACGTCCAGGAACATGACGAGCTCCATAAGTGTGCGCTTCTGAGCCTGTATGCCACCAGATCGTAGCGTCGGCTGCGTCTGGACCTACGGTGAAACGAAGTATAAAAAACCCCGAGACTACAGCCGACACGCTTCGTCAGCGCCGATAGTTTCTCTTAGTGCGTTCGCCGTTCTCCCCTGACTCAAGTTCTGTCGCCGTATTGTTGCAGCGTGAGCATTTCTTTGCGGTGGTTTCTGCAGGGTAACGTGAAATTGCTTTGGTGTCCGTGGTATGGTGCGTGAGATGATGGCATGTCTACACCGCCATGCTGCCTCACCACACTCCGTCTGTTTCCCCCCTGGCTTCAATAAATAAAGGGTGCCGCGAATCGACGTCTTCAAACCAGTATTCATTTATCGGCGAAACCTGGCGCCCTTGCCGAGTCTCGTCGTGGCGATCGGTTTCACGGTAGTTCAGGTAACCAATGAGTATCTCGTCTTACCACTGCCACACATAAAGGCGTCATATGTCGAAGTTAGAATCCCTTTCGTCATCCTCAATAACACCAGGTAAAAAAAAAATCTTCCAGTTTTTTTCTCGATAACCGTGCATCGCCTCCCAATAATGTCGTCCCGGTCGATCAGCACCAAGCTTCGCTTTTTTCCTCCCAGATATGAAATCGATGTTGCCAGTGTCGCTGCAGCAAACGACACAGTGTTTTCCCGGGAGCCCCACGCCCCAGGCTCTTAGCCTGTCACTGACTATAGATATTAATCGACGCAAGCGATGACACTCGTTCTTCCTTCCACAACATTTTATGAGCATTTCAGCTAGGTCGACATGGGTTGACACTCCACCTGTCTCTTTGTCACAGGGACGCACTTGCGCAGATGTGACAGCAGGCTTGTAGATCACACTCTGTTTTTATTCAGACGGCGAAGAAGCACTCTCCAGAGAACGCTGAGCGTTATCTGACGCTAGTCGATTACATGCCGTTGCTCGCATTGAAGCGCGAACATGTTCGCTAGAGTGTGAAGGACAGTTTAGAAAGATATGCTAAACGTTAAAGGCCACACGTGAGCTACAAATTTGGTGGTTGAGTATTACCTTTCAATCCCATCCGGTCGTTTTAAAACGTTTTTGAGCGAATGTTTAGTGGTTAAGATTTTTTGGAGCCCGCGTTTTTCTTTAATGTGATCCCGACGGACTAGGCCGCAGGTGACAGTATGCAAACAATGAAGGACGCCTCTGCTACCGTTTTCAGATAGTGACCATAACAACCAAGGCCACCTTGACCGCGACCGCGACAGAAGAGATTGGCAGAAGAATTTCTATACTAGGCTTGCACCTTACGTCATTGAACCGTGATGGTTGTCATTTCTACATATTCTTGTCGAGTACAAATTACGTGGCCCAAAATGTAGACTGCACAACATACGCGCTCAGCAACAAGGCGACTGCAGTAGCAGCTGATGTGACGTCTGTGCAAGACATGTATTGACAGGCCATCAGTAACATTGTATCGGAAGATTGGCTCGCAGGTATATTACAATTACTCTACTGATGTGCATTGATGACGGTGTCACAATGTTCCATCATGATGTCATTACTGTCTGCTAAGGGCGAAAGACTTCAAAAGTTTTAAGTTTTAGGCAAACACTTCGCATCCGTTCCTACACAAGCCAAACTTGTCATTCACGCTGAGAGTGACGTTCAACGTGTTTATGTGCAGAGCCTTTTACTGAGCGTCGCTTGTTTCCCAGTGATTACGACCCGCACCAGTCACAGACGCTCCTACTAGTTTATACACACGGAATCTAGTTCTATAACATATTTTCTCTACCCTTATTTAAAATCCATAGAATGATTTCTCAGATGCTTGAGTACACTAACGTTGCTGATGACCGCAATCCTGGAGAGCAGTTCCAGGATGGAGAACCAGATGCCGATGTTCTGGGCCCTCTCCGGCACGGAACGCCGCGTCTCGCACACAAACTTTTGGGCGTCCAGGCGAATCTCCACCCAGTTGTTGAGCAGGGCGAACAGCGGGGCCAGCGGGAAGGCCGCCACGAAGATGGTGATGAAGCCGAACTGCAGCACTGGACGCCGCACAAGGATAACATTACCAGCGACCTTTAGCTTCTAGGTCCTATGAAAGGCAGCGTTTTGGAAGCGGTTGTTTAAACGTGCAAAGAAAATAAGGCATGAACGGTGGATTTGGGGAGGAAAGAAAAATTTCTTTATTGATTTCGTCGTTAATTTTAGCAAACAAATTGGTGTCACGTGACCTGACGTTATATGACCTCACTGTATCACGTGACAGTCACTGCGTCTGTTCACGTAAAGTTGAGGTTTACCGTGAACTAACAGCCCATAACGTGGTCACGTCAAGTGACGTCTCAATGTCAGTGACCTAATGCCACGTAACGTCACGTCACGTGATGCTGATTTACCCGCTAGATTTATCGTGACAATTTTATTAACGTGATGGGACGCCGCGCCGCTGAGTCACGTGACGTGACGTCGCGGTGTGAAGTTGTGATGCCACGTAATACACTGACGTCGCGTAACGTCAAGTTCCCCGCTAAACATAACGGGGAAATTCACGGACAGACGAACGGACGGACGGACAATTTCCTGGAATTAGAGGGTTTAGCTAAAGAAGCACTTCATGCCTCAACATGCTGCATTTAAGTCCCACTTTTCAGCATTCTGGGTGCGGGTAGCGGGGCCAGCAGGCGAAAAGAAAGACGCGGTAGATATGTATATTTCTGCAGAACATATGGGTGCATGCATACTGCAAACATTTCTAGCATAAGGTTACCCCTCAGTTTGGGAAAGTTTTTAAGCCCCTATATACTGTGAAAACAATTTGGTGTACTTTCAAGTCTCAAAATGTTTCATCTGCTATTAAAGGCGGGTAATTACCTCCTTTTATACCTGGGGTCATTAAACATAAACATGACCACTGATCCCAATATGTTGACCTCAGTAGGTTGCCTCCACGTATGCAGAAGGCGTTTTTTAGATACACTCTATAGAAAAAAGGGGAGCGGTATTTAGTCCCTCCGGGGACCAAATGCGCAGTCACCACCATTAGTCTTCTGGGTGACTAACGGGGAGCCTGGGGAGGGGAACAACGTTTGCGCCCCTCCCGTTGGTCTCTCAAAGTTGAACCCCAAAGGCCCGTTCACACACATGCGTCCGTAGCGACCGGAACGACCGGAACAACCGAAACGACCGTTGCAAGGGTCTGCAACCGTCAGTTCCCATAGAGACGGAGGGACGCACGCACGTGTCGTTCACGACGCAAGGAGTTGGAGCGAGCCCGACTTTCCCCGCAGCGTTGGAAACAACCGAAGCAACCGCAATGACAGACCAATCACAGGTCGAGGAGAATGGGTCGCGCGCGTTGCACGCCGGTCGCGGGCCGGCTCCTTCTGTCTGCAAACATGGCGTCGGCGGTGATCGTCGACGTGGACGGCATGGTGAGAGCTCATCGTTCCGCGTAAAAGCGCTAGCCTTGACTGTGAATTTTCGTCGTGTGTCGCTATGATAACCCAGCACGTATTAGAAGGGAAGATCCACCTACTCGTGCGGCGATGTCGTGGCGGCACTCTCAAGACAGCAGAAACGCCCGTGCCGTCGTGTTTGTTTACTTCGACTATACAGTGCTGCTTTCTAAGCATTTGTGTCCTCGAACATCGCCCGGATTTCTTATTTGGCGCATTTCATGCGTGTGCTCAAGTTCAAGGGTATTACTCGCGGGTACCGTATAAAGGATGCGAATTTTCACGCGTTTTCATCTCCGTAGAAAAGTGATTAGTGTTAGCTATCCTGAACGCTCGCAACGTCTATCTGATCACGAAATCATATTTCTACGTTGCTATATCACTGATAAGATTACATCGTCTTTTATAATCGTAGAAAAGGCGTGTGGCGAGATTTGTACTATTGGCAAAGTCGTGATTGTCCAAGACGGCGTACTGCATCTTTTTCTTTTCTTTTTTTTTTCATCCACTGTATCCTGCAAGCCTATCATGAAAAAAAAAAAAAAAAACATTAATAAAGCTTTAGGCTATAGAAATCTGTCTGGCTATATTCTGTTACGGTATTGAGTGGCAGTGCGTCCCTTTTTTAGGGGCACCGCGGAAACAGCTGACGGCAGCGTAGAAGCGGTCGCCGTGCTGCCGACCCGCTGCGCTTGTTGCAGTGGTTGCAGGTGTGTGTACGCGCGGCGCAGAGCGGTCGTTCCGGTCGCTCCGGTTGCAACGGACGCATCGCGCTGGTTGTACATGTCTGAACCAGCCTCAAGAACTAAGCTCTGCACCCTTCCATTTAGGCAACTGGAACTAAATGTTGCGCCCTTACATTTAGACCCCTGGGACTAAATGTTGCGCCCTTGCATTTGGACTGATGGGAATAAATGTCGCACCCTTGCATTTATACTCCTGAACTCTTTAAAAAAAAAAAAGCTAGTAGTATTTATTAGGTAAAGGCTAGTAACCGTTTGTCATATATGTTACTAGGCACCTATTCTGCGTAGGTAGTAACGGTCAGGGTAGTAACGGTTACTAGGTCAAAACGCTAGTAACGGCTATTAACGAACCTAGTATATTTTATTACCCTTAGCTAGTAACTTGCACTAGCTCCCACAAGACTAGGCGGCGCTACTGAACGTTAAATTCAAAATCGACAATAATTATTATCGCTGGGATAGATATGTTTTCCACGCTGCTTACATTTACATTTACACGGCATTTATTTCACATTTGCACGCGTATTATACATTTAACAGAGACAAGGAATTATAACACAGAAGTCCCACACACGCAAAACCACGTGCTATATGCCCACCCGAAGGCAGTGAGAATGACCACAAAATATTTGTTCAAAATATTCATTTTCTTCCCAGAAAGAAAGACAGAAAGAAAAACCAAGGCAAGTTTATTCAGTTACTATCCTTAGGAAGGGATTCTTAAAAGTATTTACCGAAAGTAGACAAATCGTTTAATGACTTTTTTAAAAAGGGTTGGTCTGAACAATACTCTTAGATATATAAAAACACTAATTGGAATGAATTTGAAAAGAGCCTTACACCTGAACACTCAACAAGTTGATTAAAGCGATGGTGAAACGACGTTAGTGAATGCTCCCAGCTTCCTTCGTATCTTCTGTTTCACTAGACTAGACCACTGAAACACCCGATATACTTGATCATTCAAGACAATCTCTGGAATGTAAATTTAAATAATATGTGCCATATGACGAAGTTATCGGTATTCATAAAAATAAAACTTCGATCGAGGTAACATAAGAATCAACTCACCCATTTCCAGATATTCCTGGAAGAGGCCCTCGTTCTGTATTAGCTGGTAATCTTCCTCCCAGCGAGAAAGGGTCTCCCGGTAGACCAACTTGGTCTTGTGGCGATGCCACCAAGCCTTGATTTTGCTGCAGAAAGCGAGAAGATACTGCAAACAAACGCGGGAAAATAGAGTATGCTCACCAGTCAATTTTGGTCTCGGGAAGAACGATCTATTGAAGTTTACAATTCAAAATTTTCATAGCATTACTGCGACAATTTGATTTGTGACACAAAGTGTTTTGTACTGCTTCCCTGTAGTTTTCGTAATTTACGGAACTCTCCTTTAACTACAAGAGCCTCACTTTTTTTTGTGTTTTTTATTGTTTTTCAAGTAAAGCTGGTATTCTCGAATGCCGACTAATTTGCAATAAAGCTTGTTTACTATATAAAAGTAATGCGATTTATGTCAAAAATACCCCTCGTTGGCGCCTTCGCTCAAAAATGGCGCCGTGCAGTCAAGCTGAGAAAGCATAGACTTAGGTTTTCGCTTGCGGGGGGGGGGGGGGGGGGGGGGCTTTATTTTGCAGTACATTTTTTTTTCGCCGGCAGGATGCATTTGTTGTGCGTTTTCCAACATAATATTTCTCCCTGAGATTTTTAAAGGGCGAAATGTTAGTTATTTGCATTGAGGTAGAGCGCATTGCCTTCGTAAATATCTATTTCTGCTCACCATGGCTGAGCTGTCGTATTGCGCTATTGTCGTGAAATGAAAATAGTGACCAAATATCTAGCACGCGGATACACTCGTGCTAGCGCGGGTCCCTTATTTTCGATCGCAAAATTTTAGTACACAATAACAGCATCGTAATTATCGGTATTTTAAGGCATTAGAATGCCAGCCGTTATTCAGATAATTTGCGATGAAATGTAATTGAGTTAGATATTCTAGTACATAGCTTGAGTAATACTAAATAAAACCATTTTAGGTTTTTTTATCTTCTATTTATGACGAGTATGATATAAGCGAGCGTCTTGAAAACCTTGCAAAGTTCTGCCCTATTCTTGCTCTAGTTGTGTTTTGACGTAGAAATCATTTTTTTTAATCCATTCTTTTTTAAGAAGTGCAAATAACAACGTACGGCACGAGAATTTCCTGGGCGTTGTTGATCATCTGCTTGCCAACCATGATAATCGCCAATTGTTGCGCCAGTTCAGACAGGCAGTCGCTGCCACTGCACTGGACAAACAAGAAGCAAGACATATGACATCGGTGCATCCTGAACATAAAATTCAATCCAATTTCAATTCCATTCAATTGTATTTTACACACCACTCAGACGAAAGGTGTCTGGGGGCTAATCATTGTAAAATTACTAATTCGACCCTCATGCTTATACATAAATGGAGATGCCTATTATTGCAATAAATATATGGATAAAAAATAAAATAAAACATAAATAAATAAATAAGTGATTTCTATTCACGTTTGAATCATGATAAAAACACTGAATAACGCATCTGGATTCGTAGTCTAATTGGCAAATCTTCGATCTATTGAATAACATACATGGTTATGAATAAGTTGGTTTCCTGCCACCCATGCCTGTGCCGTACAGCGATAGTAATGTCATACTCGCCTCTTCGTTTCTCAGACCCAGCAGGTGGCCATAGTGACCGGGGTAGCCGACAAACCTGCAAACAAGATGATGTTACACCCTTCCTAGCGTTCTCAGGAGAGGCGGTCCTAACCTTCCCTTGAAAAAGGCAATGTAGAAGATGGATGAGTAGAAGTTCACAAACTGGAAAAGGAACACCTTGAAAATGAGGTTGTTTTCAAAGTCCGTCTGTGTCCGATGCATCTCTGTAAGACAAAACGTAAGAGAATTTTATATTTTAGAAATTTGAGTATCGGTTACAACGCCTGAATTTAGAGAAGCATCGAACCTCTCGGCACATGCGGCACCAGTGATATTTTAAACGCAGGTGGTTGCACAGTCACCTTGCACATAAGGGCTTCAATGGAAAGTAATAAAACGTGAGCGTGGACATGCTGATATGACAATTACAAATTTTTGGGTAAACGACTGTTTAGATTTTTGACGTCCGAAGTGAAGCATGTTAATAATAAGCGTCTTATTAAGGCGACTAAAAAATATTTTTAATTAAAAAAAAATATACGGATCTGCCAAAAATACGTGATTAGACGCCCGTTAGTGTTAGTACCTTGTACGCGTCCGAAAACTCATCGCTACTTGCGTTGATATCATTATCACGCGTATTTCTTTATTTGGAAAGTTGTTCAACATTGCTTTTATGATAAGAAACACTATTAGAAACTGAATAAAAAAAACTAATTTCACTCAGTCCTTGTGTTTTTTTTTTTTTCTTTTGGAGAGCGAGGAGGGGTTGAGTGAACTGACTAAAATACTAAGTTTGTCTCATTGATGAGTCCACATCATCACTAATCTGCGTGCCGTATTACTTTAGCTTTAATATTGTTGTGAAATTTTCCACGAGGTCCCACCAAGTACCTAACACTTTCGTACATAAATAGTAATACTGATTCTTAAAAAAATCCGGAGCTTAGTTCCTAATAATGATTAATCTTAGAAGGCGGAAACGATGTAAAAATGAAATGTGGCAAGTAGCGCGTCAGCAGGGACGTCGCGAAGAAGGGTTCAGATCAGTGACCGTCCAGAGCCCGAATCAGCAAGAGGTCAACGCGGCATCTTAGTGTTTCCGTGGTCACTGTGCCTGCCCGGCAATAGTCTATGAGATTACTGATGAGACAGCGGAGACAATGGCAACGCTTCTTGGTTCCGAACTCCTAATCGTCTGAACTGTACTAAGGAAGACATTTGTGCTAGTTGGTAGTCTTAGACATTGAGGTATTTAGCGCAACAAGTAAGAGAATAGTATTCAGTAGCGCTCCTTTCTGTCATGTTCTTATTTATTGAGCTTTGAGCGCTAAATACCTCAATATATAAATCGTCTGAACACTTACCCTAGGCTTAGCTGCCGTCTATCCCGTACTTCATTAATTTGCACCGCTTTTTGGATACTTTTCGCCGTGTATAGGTCACAGCCAACGCCATTGTCTCTATTGCAAGGGTCTCATTTCTATGGCAAGTTCAACGGCCGCCATAATTTCCCTAGCCCCGAGAACGGTACACACAGAGCGCAACACAGCAACAACAAGCGATCATTGTCGTTTCTTTTGTTTTGTTCTCTGTCGTAACTTAAAGATTGTCAAACTACTAGTGCTAGAAAATCAGGGCCACATAGCCTTGTATATTTTAACTAAACTGAATTTAATAACGAGGGACTCAAATTGGTTGTTCCTTTACGGCTCCATATTTTCTTCGCTCTCTCCCGAGCGCGGTCCGGGTTAGAAGCCCTCTTCCAAGCCACGGCTGCTTTCAGCAACGGCGAGAGTCGGCGGACGCTAACCCTAGTGTGGTGGAATCTTCTCATTCTGGTCACTAAATTAAGCTGTAAAATGAGCTTTTCATTAAAGCAACACTTAAGGCCTACAGCGACCATCTTGAAGAGGCTTAAAATTTGAACCCTAGATGGCGACATTGATCCGTGTGGCCAAGTAACTCAGGTATGGCTCGTGGCACCGATGTTCCGCCTAGTCATATAGCCTCCTCTATACTGACAAAGCTTGGCAGATCGCCACGAGAAGCGGCCGCCGATATTGAAAAGGAAGAGCGGCAGACAAGGGATGAGAAGAGAGCCACGTGACGGGCGCCCCGCTGCGGCGAGACGCCGAAACCCACTTCTCCGAAGCGATGTAATGTCCGCTCGCGCTCCTCGCGTTCCTCGCGCTACCACTTCTTTTCTCGTTGGGTTTGAAAATCATGTTTTGGGTCGTCGCCGCTGCAAAAGCTGTGCGATGACGTCCAGGTTCCCCGAGAAATGGTCTGTGCTGCCACAGATCCTCGCGCTCCGAATCTGCATAGAGGAGGCTATGGCCCACTTCCCTATGCACGTTGCACGTTCACCGCGTGTCTTCGTCCGCGTCACGCAGTGCCACCGCTGCCCAGTTGGCTCGGCTGCTAAGCAAAACTAAGGTGCCTCAATGTCCTTCTGTTAGGGTTATGCCACCCTTTGTAGTACCCGATGCCGACAGCACGCGCTCATGGGTAAAATACAAAAAAAAAATTATAAAATACAAAATGTTGCCGTAGCGCAGTCAGCGCCACAAACGCGTGCAGTGGCACGCTCTTTTACGCGATTCTGAACAAAAAAATAAAAATAAACGTGTGGGACAGAATGGAGAGATGTCTCCATCCTAAGCAAAGCGCACATGAAGGCATTCTAAGCAAAACAAGCTAGCCCAGCCAGCTCATCTGTCGGAGAATGCCAAGCTGGGCAGTCTCTGATATGGGCTTCTGATCCGCATTGCAGTAATGTCTACCCGCTATTGTGCACGACATCACGAAGAGAAAAAGATGTTGTGGCTTGACTTGTTAATTTATTTGTGAAGTATCCACACTACCTTTCCCTTAGACTGTCAGGCAGTCTTGGGCAAGGTAGTGTGGTCGCACTCCCACGCGGCTGAGAAAGTCCTATTCCTTCTAGGTGAGGGCGAAGGCCGCGAGAAAAGCTGCTCAATAGCCCAGTCATAGAAGAACATGACAGGGAATCTTGGGGAATCACTGATTATCTTGCTTGTTTTATTTCGCAACATTGATTGCGGGTTTCTGCAAGAACAAAGAGAAGCGAGAGGGAACTTCCAAAGGACACTAGTCATGGTGGGTGTAAAAAGCACTGTGGAAGCTTGGAGTTGTCGCATGAATAAACTAACACCGTGAAAGTTTATCGTCTGTCATTACTCTTATTTCAATAAATTTAAGAATAATTAATAAAAAAAAAGGCGACCTAGAGAGGGTTTAGCATGGTTTAGGCCATCGTGAAACACTTTTGGTAGCGCACTTCACGGGAGAGGGTTTTATTAGACCCTTTTCCCGAACGTCAGATTTCAGTCGAAACAACTGTCTTCCTGTTACCTCACTGATGTTCCCAGCCACTAAAATGGGTAATAAATTAATAACGAATTAACTCCCAGATAACGTTTTGGTCATAACGCTGTTATTTATACAACTCAATAGCCTGCCTCGCGACCACAGGAATAAAGTGAAGCGTGCCAAATGAGAGGAAGAGAAAGTGAAGGTCAGTCAAGGCTGCGCACATGCGCATCTGCTTAAAAGCGTCTGTGTCAAGTGCAAGATAAGTGCCACGCTAGAAATTTTCTTGAACAAGTAGTTCTCCAATTTTGGTCACAACTCAACAGGTGTCACAATCGGTCATAAAAAACGCCAAAAAAACTTGCTGTTATGGTTTCGCTGACTTTAGACAAAACTTAGCAAAGTTTACCGAATTCAAAAGCTGCTAATTTGAATACGCGATAATATTCTAGATTGTTTGCACTAACTTTATCTTCCAGCAGTAAAACATATATATTCAAGTTACATTTTTGTGTCTAAAGAAGATGGATATTTCTCTGCAGTTCTATATGTTTTTCAGTGACACTAAACCCCAAGTTATATAAAAGGACCACGATATGCGAACGAGCATATATTTAAGTTTGTCTACCAGGAGTTCGGATACCATGTGTTGAAAACTAACAGCGGTGCATTTGTACTACGAAACAATGTTTGCCTATTTTTGCCATTTTTATTCATTTTCCAGCGAGTCTTACAGCATATATATAACATCAATCTAAATGACATTTGGAACACATTTTGAGGCTATACCCGTTAATAATTGTTATAAGATTCAAACGTAAGTGCCGAGCAGTTGCCGTGAAAATTGATCGTAGATTTACTCCCATGAAGCCTATATTACAAGAAATATAGCTCTCAATATAAGATAAAATTGAAAAAAGCGCTACGATATGCAAAGCAAGCACTTTTTATCTGTACCTCTTGAAATTTTGAACCAAATCGGTCCAACAATAAACTCACCCCATTTGTACTACCAAATCATGTACGGCCAAAAACATCACCTCACACGTGTTCCCAGCGAGCATAATTTCTAATATACTCACATATACGTTTTGTTTCAAGATGAAGACCGTTTTCTCTTTTATATATTCGCATATAATAAATATTTCAGGAAGCAACCAAGCGTGAGAATTGCGATTCAAGCACCTGCTTATATCGTCATTATTTGTATAGTCGCCGTGGGGCCTCAGCATTGGACATTTTTAAAACGCGCCTACTTTATGCTTGCACTAACCCGGTCATGCAGTGTGCGTGCATAAGTTTCGCATTCTCAACACTCTTGTTTAAAGTCAATATACTTTCTTCGTATCTATGTGTGTTGTCTGAAATTACGAGCAATATCGCGGCAATCCCTCTTGCGATCATAGTCTGAATCAAGAAAAAAATCACTGTACTTCGTTTCAGCTTCGGTCCAGACGCAGGAAAAGCTACAAGCGCGAGCTCCGGACTTTCAGCATCCCTGCCAAACACTCGCGCTCGTGCAGTGCAAGCACTGTTCTGGGCCACATGCTCGCGCTTGTAGCATCGGCTGCGTCTGGGCCGAAGCTGAAACGAAGTATTGCCTCATAATTCTTCAAGACCACACCGCGAGTTCCCGCCCGTTCGAAACATGAGAAATAAAATATAGGGCACTTTATGTTAAGTTTAACAGATTCGTAAGAAAAAGAGAAAAAAAAGAAAGCTTCATTTCGCGGTTTGTGCAGGTGGGCTATTGCCTATACGGCCAGGGTGACATCGTATAGAAGGCTAAAGGGATGAGTCGGTTAATTACGTCAAATTTGTTAATTAACGTTTGCAATTTTAGAAAATTTACATATGGTTGCAATGGGGGCTTACTGAGCGTCATCGAAAACCACTAATCAGTAATTTTCAGAAAGACTTTGAGCGCGTGAGGAGCGTAGTATTGCGCTAAAGTTCTCACTCGGGCAGCAGGAGCAGGCCTACCTGTATGATAAAGCGGCCGCGCGATTTTTTGTCTCTTATCAGAGCCCCAGCCTCAAACCTGCTGCACAAGTGGTACCTTTAGCGCACTATTAGGCCTCCCACGCGCTCAAAGTATTTCTAAAAATCATTGGTATTGTGGTTTTCGATGACGCTTAGCAAGTCTTGATTTGAAACCATTTGTCTATTTTCACTTATTAAATATTTGTCAACAAAGTTTACTTAATTAACCGAGTGATCGTTGCGATTATCCCGCTATACTATGTCTCTCCGGCCGCATAACTCACTTGCACAAACGGCATAAGTCAAGGTTTCACGGCTTCTTTTTTAAAACAAATTTGCTAAACTTAAAAAACAAGCAAAAAAACTTGTGTATCTTTTTTTTTTTTTTTTTAAAGCTGACTGAAGTGGGATATTCCTCGTCTGAACCGGAATATCAGTGATGTGACTTACACTGGGCGCTGTAATATCTCAGCCAGTTTTGGTTTCGAGAGGCGCACTTCTCTGAACAGGTGCTCCTCTTTGGGATATTGAAGAACGAAGCAAAACATTATTTCCCTAACTTACCCCATTGGGTGAGCTTCAGTGCCAGGCGTTCATAGACCTTTCCGAGAATCATGATGAACAGTAGGTTCACGAAGGCTCCAGAACAGCTGGCAATGAGGGAAGCAAGCCCTTTGAAGGATTTGCTGCGGAAGAGCGGGATGGACACCAGCACCCGGTAGATGATCACAGACACCATGAACACCAGCACAAGGGCTATCTGCATGGTGGACACAGGGGAAGCGCGAAATTTCAAACATTACAAGGAAACGATTATTAGATGCGCGACTGTTTAGTTTGATAAATGCGTAATTAAGTCTTGAATTCGCCGTTTAAATGAAGCTGGCTCCCGAACTTGCCGGTAGGTGGTGTAAGTTGTACGCTTTTGCTTTGTGTTCTACTTACTTCTCTGTACCTTGTGCTGAACTTTACAATTTGGCTATGCCCTCCAACTAGTACTACAGAAGCTAATTAGTCACCTTAGTGATTTATATAAAGTCTAGCTCTAAGACGTATTTCATATCGGCTCTTCCTAAACCTGTGCAACACTACGTCGTCGATATGTGTATCCGAACTTGCGCCACTATATTAAAGTATGCCCGCGGCCGCGGATGTATCACATCCATTACTACGTAATCATAATTTTATAATCACAAAGTGTACCTATCGGTGTACCGAATAACGAACACGCTCAGTGAACATGTTGAAGACTAACACTGCTGAAGCCTTTAGCTTTACTTATTTCACTTTTTTGTCTTTATTTTCTCATTGGAAGGCCCATGATGCACGACTGCACCAGTAGATCCCAAAAATATTACAATAAGCTTGATCTTTTCTTTTGATGAATCGGCTGTTACTGTGATAAACATGTTTCGTTTTATTGTTCCCATTGTTCTGAGCACGAACGCTATGAACCATAAAATATGCAGTGTATTTCTTCAAGAGCAATGCATCAAGACGGCACCACTCACCATAAGCATGAGCACAGCGACGCCTGCAGCAATTCTTTGCTTTCGAATGTGTGCTGGAAAAGAAGGTTCTTTGACCCCCGTAATAGGATTACGTTCCACGTGCTGCGCTTTGGCTGCAAACTCGGGTCGGGGCCGCTCCTAGAAAGACACCGGTTCAAAATGTAGTATGGCGTGCATCTCGGAGCACAAAATGTTATCCAAACAAATTCGGACAGAACCACCTATGCTGTTGTCTCATTAAGCGATCAGCTGCAGACATTATTGAAAAAACCTTGGCCTGTCACACGCCAATTTTTTTTCTCTATATTTAGCGGGAAGACTGAATGAGTGTTTTTTGTCACGTGACATCAAGCAATTTCAAGTCATTTTAACCGCTAATTTTAGTGAAGAAAGTGAATTGAGTATTGAGGTCACGTGACTTCAAGTTTTAATGTCATTTTTTCCTGTAAATTTAGCGGGGGAAACTGAATTAGTGTATAAGTCAAGTGGCTAGATTTAACGGAGAAACTAAGTTTTAGAATAGGTTACGTGACATAAAGTCGTGAAGTCATTTTCCACGCTAAATTTAGCGGGGAAACTAGATTGGTGTTGAGGTCACGTGACGTAAAATTTACCACTAAATTTAGCGGAGAAATTGAGTTTGTGCATAAGTCACGTGGACTAAAGTAATGTGGAATGTTCAAGCTAAATTTAGCGGGGGCAACTAAATTACTCTGGAGGTCACGTGGCGTCAGTTTCCCCACTAAATCTAGCGGGTAAACTCAATTTGTGTATATGTCACGTGACATCAAGTTGTGACATCATTTCCCCCCTAAATTTAGCGGGAAAAATAAACGGCCAAAAAGTACCTCAATGTGGCCTAAAGGTACTAAAAAGCTAATCTATTTAAAACGCATAAACCACCAAGAAATGGATACGGCGACTGTTATTGCGAAACTATAATTAACACCGTTTAGGCGAATATCCATTGCAAGACCAAAGTGTTCATGCTAATTCGAGACAGGAACACACATGCCAACTGCTTCGATCAGCATACGTAGTACCGACCGGGAGCTTTAGATAATTATTTTTCGATCAAAAATTTTGCTAAGGTTTCCAGAGAAAAGTATTTTTGTATTGTCTGGTGACATCGCTTCAGGACTATTTTGTAACTCTGCTTAATCTCTGCGCTATATATTAGAGACACAAAAATGGTTGTGACCAAACATGGTTCTACGCAAATTGTAGATAAGATTAGTTATAATATAATGGGGAACATGCACCCCTCCTCGGTTTACCAAGATGGGAAGCGTTGAATAAAAAGTATCCCCACGCACGTCGTAAAACTAGAGCTGTCCGCTGAAATATTTGTCTCAACGCAGCAATAGCTGCAGCTTTGGAATGCTGCGTTTGGCTCTGCCTTTACTCGCAAAGTAACAGTTCAAGTCTATCCAAACTCAAACAATCCGGCACATGGCGTTCTCATTATCTACTTGACTCGTTCTACGCTGCGCCACCATTTTTTTCTTAGGAACTCTTTATTCCGGTTAAGGAAGTTATTTCGAGATGCATTCAGGTAATTGAAGAAATAAGTCATTTTTTTACCTAATACGAATAACAACCTAGATGTGTTGTAGGCAGATGCTCTATCAGCAAAACCTCAGCTCAGCTGAAGAGAAACATACTTGGCATACACAAATGCAAGCTGGTAAAAGAAAGTAGAGCTGTACATTTATGAATACTACTAAGCAGTCGTTTTATTTTCTTTGCTGCGTACAAGGAACACGTCCAGAACATACGAAAGGATTACCGCAATACGTACACGCAGTTCCGAAAAACCCGAAAAGCACGATTCCTTTTCCACACTGGACATCAAAGTGAAACCCGCAATGGCGTAGTTAATGCTGTAGTTAATGTACTACTGTCATTGTGCAGAACCTCTGCGACTGTAGATACCAAACATACTGGCTGTAAAATTGGGGGTGTGTGATTCTGCTCTTCGTGAAAAGCAAAAAAGCAATTCGAGGGCATCGTGGATCTTGACCGCAATACAGGAATTTCGGTACAAAGTGAAGTCGGTCTGCCCTTCAGAAAATGCACTGGATAAATGCTGCATTGGACCATTCTTGACGGTGCAGTAAAACTGGGTTTTTTAACTTGCCTCACACTATATAAATTACATGACGTCACGGCGGTTTTACATTAATCTATATTAAAACGAGAAACGGCGGGAATTGAACATAGGATTTCTTGCCTTTGCAATGGCAGCTGTGTATACGTTTTTTTAACGCATTCTCCGTGCCATCAAGGTGCGTAATTTTTCAAAATTAATTAAATGTTCTAAGTGTTCGGAAAGTTAACTTCAATAGAACAAACCAATGCGCAATAATAAAAAAAAACTACCCTTAATTGCGTTTTTAAAAGACCTAAACATAAGGTTCCATGATGCATAATTCAGTTTCTCTACGATGTTCCGTTTTATTTACTCCCAAATAAAAAAAAAATTTAGTAACAATACTTATATCTGTCACGCTTCCTGCCACATTGAAAGCCTTCCGTTCGCGTAAATAACGTAAAGCGGGGACTCACTTCTTCCTCTTCAAAATCCATGCAGTCCCAGTGGTGCGCTAAACTGGCCGATTTTCGTTTCCAGTACTCGAGAAATGACACCGCTGAAAGCAGTGACATGCAATGTAAGGACCCAAGAAACTTTGGAGATTGACTGGAGGCGCTTGCAACAGGATCAATCATTGCTAAAGGAGAAATAAGTGAATATGTGACGATTTCGCTAGTATGCTATAGTGCACAACTTTAAATATTTAGCGTCCGATTTTTGTGACCACGCGGTAGCTCATAACTGTAAGTCAATTGCCCCGTAACGTTGTCCTGAAGTACTGGACGTTCGTAAGAAAAAAAGAGCCGTGCTCTTCGGCCCACGTAAATAAGCTACGCATCGCAGAAAGCTATGACTCAGTGAGATTGTGACGCTAGAGGTTGCGATAGAACGCGAAAGTTTGTGAACATGACGCTCCCTATGTGGAAAGATAAAAAAGGAAGACGTGATTTCTACATGAGCCGACGTCTACATAAGCGTAATGTTTTCAAAACAAGAAATAATGTTCTGCGCGGCGTTAGCACCTATTACAGTCAAAATAATCTTTTCAGCAAGAAAGAAAAAAGTTTCTTTTTTTTGCTGGCAAGTATTTTTCACTGCTAGAAATGCCAGATGCATGCAGAATCTAAGTTTATGTTTTGACAAGATTTGGCTTAGGTGAACAGAGGCTCAGGGGTTCACTTAAGAGGGGGGGGGGGGGGGGGGCGGCAAAGGCCCTCGGGGCAAGTTTTGTTTTCATGGGAAAAACAACATACACCAGCCTTTTTCGTTTTAGGAAGAAATGTATAGTTTTTGGTGAAATAGCAAATATTACGTCAACCAAATAAATCTGTGCAACTCTTCGCCCTTGACGTCACCCTCTGTGATGTCTTCCAGCCCCTTCCAGGGACGTTTCACGAGAAAGTCAAGGTAATTTGTTTTTAGGAGCAATTGTTTCTCCATTTTTTTCTAATTTTTGCAGTTTGTCTTGCTCTAAATTGCGCTAAACGAATTGACGTACAAAGAGAACACATTATTATCGACGATAGCCTGAGTTACGTGATGATCAGGGCCGCACATATAAGCCACCTTTCTACGCCTAAATTGTTGAACCGAGCCGTGGATGCATGCTGGACATGAGAAGTACGACACATGACGGCACAAGATGGTTCGTCATTAACATTTGAAGCACGACCGAAGATTTTGGAGCTTTTAAGAAGGGAGAATAGTTGGCGTCGTGAAATCCTCTATTCACTGCGCTTAAAAGGGCGATGCAACGATTTTCGTACTTTGCGCAAATACCGCTTAGAACCAATCCCTGCGGTTAATGAGCTATGGAACACGCGGTTGTTTTTTACCACACGGAATAGAAGTCGCAGAAAAAATTAAAGGAAAACGAGCAGCGTTCACCCCCTCATCTCGCAGCCAAACAAGCGGCCACGTGATCTGGAGCCGATTTTATGCCGCCAATGTTGATCATAGCCACGCACTGGGGTTGCAAGGCACAAGAAACGCGCTAAGTTCCAGATATTGTTAGGGTTCGGCTATTGTCGTCATTGCAGCGATTGGACACGGACCACTACCCGAATCTTTGTCGAGCTGTTGATTATCACGAGCCCATATCGAGTGCCCACGCAATGTTCGGGTACAATTTATGAGCCGCATTCAAATATCGTCGCTGGGGTATAGTGCGACCCACAGTTATGTCATCAGGTTTTGCTCAGGGAGAGTCTGAAAGAAAACGCTCGCTTTTGCTTTTGATATTTCACCGCTACAAAGGAGTTTCTTGGTCAGTGGCGTTGCGTGCGAGTATACTCGGCTCCCACTAGTGCCAGTGAGCTCGTGTAAAGTGAAAAGCATTTCAAACGAATATCGTAGCACGGCCCCTTTGAGTGTCATAAAAGCTAAAAGAATGTGCATGGAAAGTGTGAGGGCAAGAACAATAGAGTACACAAAATCGTACAAGATTTTTCGTTCGGCAATTCAACTGGCGAATTTCGAGCGGTTTCGGAAGGCGATTTTGGAGGGCACTTTAAGAGGGCGGTATTGGGGGGCGCGCAAGCGTTCTTTCGCATCTACCGCACAAAGGTGCGAGCGTAGTGCGCCTTTGGAGCGCTACAAATTTACCAAGGTAATTCCACATTAATGGTATTTCAAATCCCCATCCATCTCAAGAAACTTCTCCTAAAGCTACGCGAACGTGGCTTTAGTAAACAAATTGTGTGTTGGCTTTTATAACAATTTCAACTGCAAGGTCCAACAGTTTTTATTATTCGAGGATTTGGAAATAATACTACTACCTGTAGACCATAACTCATAGTCACACTTACCCCAGAAGGAAACGAAGATTGCGTAGAACACAGTGCCGGGATGATCAAACAAGTAGGTAATCTTCGTAAATATGCAGTTGTCGCTGATATACCAGTAATCGCACCCGTACGTCTCGTCGCAGCGCGGGCACATGCGGTACTTCTTGTCGCTGTTGCAGATTTCGTTCCTGAAAGAATGAAAAAAAAATTCAAGTGGAAGGAAATACAATATGTACAGCTTCTTTCACCACCTTTACAATAAAACATTATTCTTAGTATTTAGGAATGTTAAAGAAGAACCTAACGTGTTTTTTTTTTTTTTGTTTTTTCTTTCAAGGGCGCTAAGTCCGGTACTTCTTTTACTGGTTTCAAGGGAAGTCATAAACATTCCCAATATCTTGGACGCTACAGGCACTTGGAAATGACTCGAAGCGGCTGTAAATAATCATAACTGAGCGCATGACAAAAAAAAATCGCACAAGAAAAATGTGTTGCACGCGTGTCTGCTTTCAGACCTTTTTTCGAGTTTGCTAAATACTAGTTACAGTAAACATGTACATGATAAACATGTACATATATATTCAAAGCAGGTTTCGGTGATTTTGATGTAATTAGTAAACAATAATAAATGCATATCAGATTCATTTGACAAAATTGTTGAAGAATAGATTATTGCTAATCTGCATGGAAGTTTTCTTATATTATGGTATATATTTCCTAACATGTGTTGGTTCTATTTGACGCTAAGAGGTGCTATGTGTGCCGTCGTAAATGACTTGTCGAATTTCCAGCAACAACAACAAAGAACTGCAAAATCACGAGTGAACTTGCTGCTTACTTTTATGTCTCTAAAGTTATGAATACATTACCACAATAGATCCCCTTTATGAGAACCTACGAATAGGTGATTAGGGGAATTGGTGGACGAGCGCGTTAATGTACAGCAGATCGGAGCACATGGAACGCAAGCTCGGGCTGGAGAAGCCAGGATCCTGGGTTCAATCCCCCACCCCTGCCCTTTCCGACCTGGGTGAGCATCGTGCCGGAGTGCGGTCGTGCATCACTACTGCGGGGTGCATGTTAAAGACGACAAGCTAGCAGTGGTATTACATTGTGTAAATGTGTCATTGCTATGGCAGTCATCTCCCATAGCATTAAAAACACAGCACAACTATTAATTAAATATTGCACGTGGCAAAATCTTTTTATATCTCATAACGATGGTGAAGGATATATTTCGAAAAACTTAAAGGATCTTCACATCGTACGTTGATTTTGGGCAATCCTCCCTGCCTAACAAAACTCGGAAAAGGTACATAACTAAGAATTGCCAAAAAAGATTGTTAATTTGCTTTAACCCATGCTTTTATTTCGCGCCATTTCTCTTGATCGAGGATACTAAAGTGACTTGAGAGATGTCATGAAGGTTGCATTATGCTTCTCTGCGCCATAATTTAGGGCGACAGCAACCTTCTAGTTCTGACCTAAAAAAAAAAAAATATACCCCGAACTAAAAATAAAAAGAGAACACCGAACTCCCACACGCGAACGATTTTTTTTCCTTTGTACAAGCGTGTACTAGGGCCACTGAATAAGCTACGCTTGAGAGTAACGACACTCCAGTTATCTTGATGCTTAAAACCCACGGTGGCCAACTATCTGAATCTTTATTTGAAATTGCAGGAACCGCTTTTCCGCCCTCCAGAGATGTTAAAACAGTTCTCGGCAGAAAAAAAAAAAAAAATATTATCTGATCTTTTTAACACCGCATCTAAAGCCGAGGAAGTCGGATTTTTGAATCGTTACTATCGACTGCTGCGTCTGCTTAGCACTAAGCACCGAGATGGCGGCGCTCACTAGCAGATCGGGGAACGGAATGTCTATACTCTAAGCGCAGCTCATTTAGTGGCTCTAGTGTGTACAACAAGTGCTGTGCTTCGAACATTGTTAAGGTGCCCCACGCAGCCGCTGCTTTGAAACGTGCTTTCGGGAAACAATAGACCGATCTCACTAAGCTTTCCACGCATGCGTGACGCCGCCATAACTGTAGTTCATAGGATGCAGACGCCAGTTCACGAGACAGCTCATGCCACCTCGTGCTCTGCTCGTGCAGACCTCCAGCGGGGTTGTCGCACGTGCAGAGAGACTACAGCTCCCACGATGCATGTTGGCAGCGGTAGTGTACTCGAACTAGCTGGTGAGATCGGTCTATTACTCGCCAGAACGTCACATTGCAAAAGACGGAGTGCGTGTTGTCTCGCTCTCTTGGCTTTTGCTTCCCTGTCACCAGCTTCACGAGCGCGCGCCTTTGCCTTGCGTCTTCAATGGCACACGTTCTCGTGCGTGTGCACACGTTCTCGGCGGCTTCGTTACATTTTGCTCACTCGATCTGTGAGGTTCACTGATCTGCATATTTAAACAATTTCCTTTTTAAAGACTCCGTAAAACGATGAAAATAACCCATAACAGGAGTAAATAAACAAACAATAAATTACGAAATAAGCTTGTGCAGCAGGCATTTGTTTAGTTGGGTTAGAACTTAAAACTAGAAAAAGTTCAACCGTGCTTACATAAATATAGCCACCGGGGGAGGAGCTGTTACCTTTTCTGAATATCTTCTAAAACACTCCATCTTACACTAAAGTAAATATCTAAAAGATAACCTATGCGCGTCAAGTGATATATGAGCACGACCCACACGATTGTGTTTATGTGTTACGCTCGCTAGGGATTCAGCATTCTACTGGCATCAAAATGGGCCAACACCTCCGCAATGCGACGTCTCGAGGACGCGGCCGCACGCTTGTTTAGATCACAAACAATTCCGTTTGTTTGTCGCTAACACAATAAATAACGCATTGGAGAGCTATGTTTTTGTTTTGAAGGCGAGACTCGAACCCATAACGCTAACACTTGGGGCGTCGAGAGCACGCACGACGGAACACAAACAACCGACAGTGACGCTACCGCCACCGACGGGTCGATACTACCTGCGTCAGCTACCCGAATGGCTTGATGCTCTAAATGTTCGGACGGAAATAGATCGGGAGCACGGTTATTATTTGGCCGAAACAAATAGTGAGATATAAAATGAAAAAAAAAAAAAAGAAAGCACCAAAAAGCAGGTAATCTAACCATATAACAACTCCGAGATAAGAATATAAAAACTCATAACAAAACAGAACTTTGTGAGTGGTTGTCATTTTTATTTCAATTTTTCGTAGTCTGGGGTTTATTATAGAGTTTACAATTCAACTTCTGATGTCGAAAAAAAAAAAGAAGTGAAAGGAACTTTGTTTTATAATAGTTATCGGAGCCATATAGGACAGTTTCTAAAAATCGTTTGTAAATAATAATATTTTGGGAACTGACAACTTAGCACGTTTTCGAAGATATTCTTGGCATTTGGCGCGTTCACTGGGGAGTAGGGAAGGGCATAATAGTTTATATATCGAAATACAAATACAAAATACTTCGAAAACGTCTATTTAATTTCAAATTCAGTTACACTTTTTAGAAAAGACGAAATATAACGAGAGAATTCGATCATCTTCAAGTACGTTTACAAATGCATTGTGTCCCCATAATCTGATCCTAGCCTAAAATTTAACCTCGGGTAAATAAAGAAAAGACTAAGGTATCCAAATAAGAGTGCAGTCTACACGCGCCGAGAAAGTACTAAAAAAAAAAGTTGCCAATCACAAAGCAAAATTTGCTTGTCATAAGAAAGGCGCGTACAACATCAGGAATAACGATGTGTTTAGTGCGAGTTTAATTTTAAAGTCTTAGTTGAGACAACATAGCTTCTTCAAACAATATGTCCTTAATGCGACGTCTTGTGCTCAATCCGTGCAACTAGTTTCATGCTTTTTGCATATGACTCTCATCCCCAAAAGTGACCAAAATCGCAATTTGCTGCAAAGAACGCTATTACAAATACAAGGATTTGAAATACTAAATTTTCGGTATTTGGATACAATTGACAAATGCGTTTGTTGCGTACCATGAAATACCCAATACAAAATAATCAGCATATTTGAAACACGTAGATTTCAAATACTTGTATTTGAAATACTACTTATTCCTGACCCTGCCCGGCATAGCGCAGTTTTTAAACGTAACATCTCCGCATAAGGACTGCGCCCAGCGGCGATGTCAGAGCACCGAGCTCTGATTGGAAGGATTGGGGGCGACGCAAAGTCTAGCTTCCTTCATCTTTACCCCCCGTCTTCCTCCAATCAGAGCAAAAAAGAGCGTCGTCTGCCGCGTGCGCTAAGCCTGCAGCATTCGAACGGCAGACCCAGCGCGAGGAGCGGACGACGCCCTTGTTCGCTCCGATTGGAGGAAGACGGCGGATGGAAACAAACGAAGATGGCCTTTGCGTCTGTCCACACAATCCATCCAATCAGCGCTTGGTGTTCTGACGTCACAACCACGCTCTCATCTCCTCCTCTCCCTCAGTGTATCTCCGCATAGGTTCGGTGATGGAAGCGCAAGGCTTACGTGGGTCCGTCCTCGCCGATCGTAAATATGCCGTAGAGAAACACCAGGAATCCCACGACGGCAGCGGGCAGTAACCATCCCGTGTAAAACCCTGCGATACAAAAGAGAGTAATCGGGTGGGACGATCTCTGTACACTGCTGACCCGCTGCGTCTTTATCGGTGGAAACTGTGGAACGCAACAGATTTATTAGTGAGGGCAAACACCAACATCGCTGTTTTTACTGGTACAGTAAATGTCCCGATTATGCGGAAGGCAAGTTAGTCTGCTTCTTGTGCAGGGATTGCAGTGACGTCAGAACTCGCTGAGCTCTGATTGGTTTAGATTGGAAGGGCAGTGGGATGAACCTCAATGTTACAGCTGCCTTGAGGTCTACCCACCATGCTTCCAATCGGAGCCAATCAGAGCCCGGCGGGGTCCTGACGTCACCGCAGCCCCTGCCAAGAAGCGGACAAACTTGCGCTCCGCATTGTGACGGACAGCTCGAGAAGTGCAGTGCGGGCCCGTTCTGTTCACGCTTCCCACTTCTCGATTGGGTCCTCGGCACTCTGTTTGGCTAATGTCGCACTTTGATTGGCTGCAGAGTGATAATGAGTTGCTCGGAACTCGCCACGCCCCACGTTTATTTAGGTAATGAGCGACTATAGCGCTTTCAAGCCTAATAAAGGTATTTGAAACGTGCGACAAGACAGCGTCACGTTGCGGCTCCTAGCAGAAGCATTTCGCGTAGACATCTCGTTCGCAGCCGAACTTAGTTTCTAATCATATATCAGCTTGCCTGAGGACAGCGCTATACAAAATGTACAAAACCACAAACGGGTCTAACTCTTTTTTTTTTCTTTTTACACGAGACTCGGAAATCGAAAACATGAGCCGGTGAAAAATAGCCGCAATCATCTCAATCTTGATACGACTATACTCGATCCGCGCCAGCGTGCCAAGAGCTACGCGATAATAAGAGGAATAAAAAAAAAAATACTTCTCATCTTCGAAGATTACCACTTAGTGGTAATGTTCGATGTATTTCCGTAGAGATCTTTCCGCCAAATACACAAACGCTTCGTATATGGCATGTTCGCAGATAAATAAAAAAAAAAAAAAAAAAACACGGTGGTGCGTCGCAGTCGTTGCCGCTTACAATTGCTGGGCACATGATTGATTTCGACCTCTGTGCAACTCCTGCGGGTCGAATGACGTGGGAACAGATACAGAGAAACGTCGGACATGGATGCGCTTTCGAATGTCAAGGCGACGGACCTTTAACTCCGGATCGAGAAACGCGGCTGCTTGCAGACGCGTTCAAGACGCTGCGTAACGCGGACGATGTCGTTTCTGTAGCTTCCAAGGCGGATCGGCACACCTTTAGGTGTCGTCCGCTCAGAATAAGCGGCGGGACACAAATAAAGGTACCGAAATGTGTAAGCCTATGTGAGGCTGTAAAACTGCCATATTTATCAGCGATATCCCCTTAGACGGAGGCTGGAGTATGAAGTACACCTTTACGCAGTTTATACGGGATGCTGTTTGTGTGATAAACCTGGCACGTTTATGTTAAAAGAATTTAGCGAGATGAACTGTGCAACCTTTAATGAACCGATTTTAACTCGGAAAATGTTGGGGTTTTCTCCTTTGATAGGTATACCACGTAGAAACACATAATGTCTATAGCTTCGTAAAATGGCATGTTTTATTGACGAATACCCCATCACGTTTTGCCCGTCGGCCAAACAAATAAAAGATGAAAAAGTTTTGTGCTGACGTATTAGACAAGTTCACCTGGAGGTGCCTAGGCTACCGTACTAGGCAAATTCGCGGGAAGGTGGAAGCTGCAAAAAGAAAAAGGCTCCGAGGACCAGAGCCTCCCTCTAAAGAAAAAGTCTCCGGCTTTCACTCCCCCCCCCCCCCCCCCCCCCCCACCTCTCGGGGGTTTCGGGGCCGGCTTATTTAGCCTGCGGGAAATGGACGCGCCCGGGGTAGGTGGTGTGGCTTAGCCCGCAAATGGGTTGCGCACACAATCACTCCCCAGGGTGTGCCAGCGGCAGGTACACCCACAAGGCCGAGGGAGACACCGCCCTCTTTGAGGAATGCGGCCTCGCCTTGTATCCGGGAAGCCGCCGCCATCGCAATCCCCACGCCCTCCATGTGCTAGGCCTAGATAGGGAGAGGGGAACACGCGGTTTCTACAACATTCGTTGTGATTTGAGGCTAGCCGTTTCCACTTTGATTTTCTTATCAGGGGCCATATATGCTAGGCATTCCGGCACGTGTATTGCTATTTATTGTTTAGTGGAAGTGAGACGTTGTAGGCGTTGACCTAACTCTCTAGTGCTTCAAAGAAAAACACTCGGGCATATAAGGGCAGCTCAAAAATAGGAAACATGCCCCTGGGTGTGACAAATATCAGTTACGGGACGAAGTTTTCATTTAAACTAAACAATTAACAAATAACTCTCCCGGGCTTTAGTGTTTTAACTTGTTGAACGCAACATCTGGAATTAAAGCAAGTTCCACTCGATGCTACTTAAAGTTTAGGTATATTGCTAACTCCAGCGTATCGAAATCACGAGCAAAGCGATTCAGTGCTTAAATGGGGGCCGAGAGGAAGACGGCGACTTCGGGTCTTCTTGAGGCGCGGTGTTTCTTAACCTTCTATTGTTTATATCGCAGCATGTTAAGAGTGTTTCTTGACTCACGCGCTTAGTTTCGACTGGTGACACGGCGTCAACTTGAATCCCACCATCTATTATTATTTTGTTTAAGCAAGGGATGCCGGCTCCCATTATTGATGAGTTTCAATTTCCCAAAAAGGACAGTGAGGCATTTTATAGTTCCTTTAGTAACACGCATTACGTGCTCAACAGGAAAAAGTTCAAGATATGAAATAGTTTATTACTTTACTTCTGCATTTTGCCACCGCTGCCTACCAAACTCTGGATCAGATTCTGAGCGTGCGCCATAGCTCTCGTTTATCAAATAGAATCTGCGCACGTGCGTTACCAGTCGACTGACACGGTCAAGGCTGGTTCACACATTTAAGACGGTTGTGTTCGCATGCAACCGAAACGACCGTAACCACCAAAACACAGCAACCACCGTGACCCATAAATTGCTCCGCGAAACTACCCCTTGCATCGTTTGCCATGCTGTGTACGGCGAACACTTGTCCCTGTGACTTGGTCGTCACAGTCGTTTCGGTTGCATGCGTACGCAACCAACGCAGATGTGTTAGCCAACCTTAGCTATCGCTTGCATGAGATGGTGTCGCAAAAGCAGCGCCACCTGCGTACAGCCATGACAAGGAACTGGTTTCTGCGCATGCCCGACACCGCCACCTGCTGTGGGCTAATGCGAGCGCTTGCTCGAAAACAGGGAGTGGGACCGTAGCGGAGAGAGACGGGGGTGGAACTCACCAAGCCAGGCGAAGTAGATGCCTATCTTCTCCCCGAAGTACTCCCGTATGTGGTCCAGGGGCTGGTACTTGTACCAGCAAGACCAGCGCGCCCAGTATTCGTAGAGCACCTGCCTCCGGTTTAAACAGTGAGGCAGCACAGGGTTGGGCGGCTTCCTGTAGTCGCCCTGGTGCAGAATTCGATCGATGGCTTGTCTAAACAACCTAGTTTTTTTTTTTTTTTTTTTTTTTTTTTTTTTTTGCGCGAGTGTGTTATGAGGATAGGGCTGGGATTCACGAGAAAGGCGGCAGGGCTACGCTTGTCCGACAAATATTTCACGTGACATCGTGAAGTCACGTGACTCTGCGACAGCGTGTGACTTGACCTTATGTTTAAGTGCGTCAGGCAACATGCCACTGTTAACTTAAAGTTGAGTGACGTCACACATACACAGAACATGTGCCCAGCTCATTCGAGACATATTCTATGCGTCGAGTTTTTCAGATATGTTCGAGACACGATTAAAGGGTACTCTGTGTGATATTTTTATCTACCCCAACTAACTATATTTTCTAAGTCCCTAGCCTTTTACTTTTCGAGTAACTATTTAATAGCGCAAAATTCAGAAGTGTTTGTAAAATCGGCAAACCATTACACTCTAAAAAAAAGCCCGTGCGTCTACATTTCCGCACAACACTCGGAGAGCCAATCACCGCAACCTACGGAGGCAGGTCAGCGAATGACGACGCCAAAACATATGTTTAGACAAAAAAAAAATGCGCTCTGAGTTGTGACATTAAGCAATGAAGAGCGTCACTCCGTAAGTTGCAGTGATTGGCTCTCCGAGTGTTGTGCGGGAAAGTATACACGTGGGCTATTTTTAGAGTGTATGACGCCTAAACCAACATTCATATATTTCCACGCTTTTCAGTGCCGCGACGTCAGTGGAAGACAGTCTGGATAGTCCAGCAGGCAGTCTGAAAAATGAACTATGCCGAGCATTTGTTACGTGCTGCCAGCGCGGGTGCTGGAGCGAGCTTCCAAAGCATTCATCTGGCACCACGGAACTGCTTGTAATCACTTGAGAAGAAATCCTACAGTTCAAAGAGGAGTGATCCCCTGCCTGCGGCTGGCGTCACTCTTTGGTTGTTCCCAGTAAAAACATCTAGTTTGAGAAAAACAAATTATGAGGATTAACATTGTAAATTCGATAACTGCGCGAAGAAAAAAAAATGTTTTGGCCTAATGTTTCGGTTGTTATTTCAGCGATCTGTGTTGGTGTGTTTAGGCAATTTTGAGACAAATCGGGCGTGGGCCATGACGAAAACACCGGAGGTACCCCTTTAAATATTTGGCGAGGACTTACGTCGGAAGTGATGTCTGTTCCCCGTATATACTGATCTCGCGGTCCACTTCACTAACTCAGTAACAATGAAACAGCTGGAGCCACGATTCAGTTTCGATTTCTTCTATAGCCGCTGACAGATTAAGAGACGCAAGACTAAGCAGCATCTTATTATCGTCCCTATAGCTAATGTGATTGTGGCAGCAGCCAATAAGAACGCCGAATGTTAGATCACGAACAAAAACGTGAGCATAAACCTCGTCCTACGTTTCCTAAGCCGTCAGTTACTAAGGCAGGCAGGTACTCTCTTTCTCTCTCCCTCTCTTTCTCCAATTTAGATAAGGCGCGAATACAGACCTTTGCCACAATTTGGGAATGGCGATTTTGACAGAAAAAAAAAACTATTTTGTTTATGCCAGACTCACTTTTCTCGCTGGAAACTTCTAAAATTTGAATTTAAACATGATGTGAAGCTGTCACCTTGAAAATATGTGCGCATCCTCATGTACACCGCGAGACACAATTAACATGAACACGACAATGCCGAATTTTCGGTATTTTACTACAAAAAGGATTCTGACGAACACAAATATTTGACTGCCAAAACTGGTGCGTGCAGGATGAACGCATTTCTCTACGCCAGTAGATTTAATAACAACCGTTTAGTCGTAAGTTAACTATAAGAGATAGCTAGTTTGTGCTGACGGTATCGAGCCAAGTACAGCTAACAGCGAATAATCACAAATTTGTGTAATCCATATGTTACGCGAGAACAAATATAGAGGTCACAGTACTTAAACTAACGTTGCTATAATTTGTTACAACGTAAGAACCACAGCAGACGCCCCGCTCCAAATACACAGATCGAAAAAGCCTCACTGTGCAACTCTATAGGAACGCACCATTGTTCTGATGTCACGGAATGAAAACACCACTAGTCAGTGCTCTTCCTAATGACTGGCGCTCACGTCAACAAAGTTCTGCTTTGTTTTTAACGTCTTTTCGCTGAAAGGGCATTGAGCGGGATGTTGTTCACCGCTGGCAGAGTCTCCCCTGTAGCTTTTATGTCGCAGCAGACCAAAGACATTGCAAGTTAAACAACTTCTATTGACGCTCGTCTGCATGAACTTAATTGACATCTCCCTTCGATGTTTTTTTACCAGTTGATTGACGCGCCTCTCATATTACACAGTGTAGCTAATCTCCGAACTTGCTATTGCAAAAAAGACAACAACATTATATCACCTCGTTTAGATATTTTGTCAAATGCAATATGAAGGAGCACTTGATTGTGTTTTCATCAAGCAGCTTTTTGAAATACCTCCATGCCTACTAGATTGACTCAGTTAACTAAGTGACTTTGATTGGGACGCACCTCGTGGAGGGGAAACGCGGCCGTGTAGACTTCTTCCTCGATGAGTCTGTCGATGCCGATCTGCGCCTTGCGCCGCTTGCCGTACTGCGCTGTTTGAAGGATCTCGTACACAATACACAACCTCTGCGTGGTCGTGAAGTACTCGTCCTGGTTGTCGCTGCCCAGGAACCTGCGCAGACCAAAGGACTGCCCTTCTTCTACGCAGCTCGGTAAGGAGATGCTGAAGCATAGCCAGTTCACAGCAAAGCTGACAGGACAAGACAGCGGTCAGCGGTCTTTTACGACGCGAATGTGATCACGCTGTTTGTGGATATTCTTGCGAAGTGGCCGGTATCAGGTGATAATGGGCAAGCTATTGATTGCTGCTGCGGGCACATACCTTCCACCACCCTGTCATCTTATCGCTGAACAGAGTACAAAAGAGGGTATGTGGGCACCATATTTGTGCCATCCCCATGTACATTTGTAAAAGAAAGGCGTTTCCTACTTTCTAATTGGAAACACTTAATGTTTGAGCTGTCGTCTTCGTTTCATCCGCTCGACAGATTTTTTTTTAGAGCAGTGTGATAGAGACTTGTTAAATTCTCCTGTTATCACTAACTATACACTGCTTTAATTCTTTATATGTGAGTAATGTATTCTGCCTTTCTTCCACAGTCTAGATGCTTGTTCTTGCCTTAGGCTCATAGCTTAAATACTAAATTACATGAATGTGTATAAGAAAATACAATAATTCAAGGGTATGAAACTAAAATGCAAAGCTCCTCTCTGAAGAGTCTAAGTCATTCTTTTATCAGATTTTTAAATAATTGATAACTTCTTTTTTTACCAACAATATCATGCATACCATAGGTGTACTATCCGAGCCATTCAATTGAATACCGAAAAAAGCAACGACCACTTATTTATGACAGTTGATTGTTTGGACGTTTACGAATATGCTTTGATATAGTTTCGTTGATAGCATAAAATTGTACGTTGATCTAAATGGAATTTTGTCTCTCTTTTATTACTTTTCTAGATATCTTTATTCCGGAGAACATAACGAGAACGAATCTTTCTGTTCTTCATAATATGCATCCAACTAAAAAATAAAAAACATTTATACAAGTAGATGATAGAGCTATTATAAAACGGCAATCGCTCAAGAGAATTCAGTCGGACAATACCTGATAATAACAACAAGAAATTTGTAAGAAAATGCATCTGAAGGAAGTCCTGTAATAGCAGGTGTTCAGCCGCTGAATTCAATTTTATATGGCGGTCAGTAGAAAAAGAAAAAAATATTGGGATGCCTGTAATTTTAAACAGCCTAGAACGTAGTCTGCCTCCACGGGCGACTTGCCTCCCAGCTGTAGATGATAAATTTAGCCAGTGCAGCACAACCACTAGCCTAGGATCTTTAAAGTGCATCACGCAGTAGTGATAGACGACTACACATTGGTACGATGCTCATCCAGGTCGAAACGAGAAGAGGGGATTGAACCCAGGATCCTGGGTTCTGAAGCGCGAGCTTTCGCTCCACGTGCTCTAAGCTGGTGTGCACTAACACAATCGGCCACCGATTCCCTCTAAAAAAAGTGTGAAAGCTGCTTGTGTTTTTTGAAACCACTGAAAATTGCGAACCCATAAAGGAAAAGCAGGAGAACAGAGGTCGAGGTAAAGTGCAGTTAGTAAACCAATGAGTTATCATGCCATTCATTATATGCAAGCGAGAGAGTCTGTAGTGATTTGTTTAATCTATCAAGCGCAGAAGTCAAAGCTTCCTCCTAGTCCTACACAAATGGTGACCATTCATAAAAAGTTTAGAAGGTTATTCAAACTTGCGAAAATTGAATGACGGTTAATTCTGTCGTGTCACTCTGGAGACTTCATTCAGGCAACAATTTAGGCATAATGTATCACTTTTGTGCTGCCTATGGCAGTACGGATTACTACGTAACTTAATTAATGTGAAAAGAAAACCACACCTGTCCAGCTTGGATTTCTTGAAGGTGCAGGTGTAGTAGTCGAGAGGCTTGTTGGGGACCTCGTCGTCCATGATGTTGGGTATCCGAAGCGTTCCCAACAGGCCCGCCGACCAGTTCACGCTTGGATTTGGATGCGCCTGCGAATGAAACCGAAATATTTAGCCGCGATGAGGACACAATCTATTGCCTTGCGGGCTCCTGCATGTGTCAAAAGGAGCTCGTACAGTTGGTGTACTTGGTGAGCTCCGCGCTTAGGCAAAACACCATATACAGAAAAGTGAGTCCTCTCTGTAGAGCTGCGAAGGTCACCCTATTGTTCCTTCAGCTTTCCTTTTGTTTCGGTTTGGTCTAAATATGTATTTACACGTCCACATAATAAGTGCGAAAGATTGCGCAACCGTTCCTAATAGTAGTTTTGTTTTTCGACCCACTCGCATTCGAAGACCTCATATTCTCGTATGAAGCGCATCGGCAGTTACTTTACTGTAGTCATATTTATACTCAAACTGCATCCGCAATAATTTGATGCAGTCTATTATGTGGCTTTCTGAACCACAACTCGATACATTGAATATTAATTTTGGGTTGAAACGCATTGACCCGCGCACGATGGCACATAATTTCTTAGTAGAATGGACGATTGGTCAAGTTGGGATGAGTTCATTTTGAAAAGACAGCGTGAAGGACTACACGGGTGAACGCTTGTCCTGTATAGTCCTCCCTTTCTGTCTTCGTCTTTTTCGCGCTGTTCTTTACGATGAACACATTCCGCCCCCCCCCCCCCCCCCCCCCCCCCCCGAGTAGTTCTCCATGCCTCATATGTTTAGTTCGTCCAACCTTTGTCGTATACGTGAAACCCCAATGAGACGTTAGCGGAAGTGGTAAGCTCCATAACTTAAATGCGTTTTCAACTGCTCTTCACCCTCTCGTGGACTTCCATTGAAATACATTTTACTTAGCGCCGTGTATGACAGGAGTCGGGGTTTTAATTTTCCCTCTTCTGCGCTTACTACTCCTGCGTCTTTAAAAAATGATGCGTCGGCTGCGATTTCTCTTAGACCGACTGAGACAGGCCAGAAAGGTGATGATAAAGCTAATAACAAACATCCGTATTTCGAAAATATCGACAAATCCCCCCCCCCCCCCCCAACCAAAAAAAAAAAAAGAAGAAACATGTAAAAATAAGGAGGAAGACAATTAATAAATAAAATAAAAGCATACACGAAATTACAAAGACACGCAGGTATACATAATTAGTGTAAAAAACATTAAAAAGAAAATTTTCAAAATGTTTTCAAATCAATTTCTTATATCTCACAGTACGAAAATTATAAACAAGAACAAGAGAACTTCCTCGTCATCAAGAAAACCCAAGACAAGAGGCAAGACCCAGCGGAACAACAATAATAATATATTAAAAAAAACAAATAATCATAAATGGCTGCAAGATTTCTAGAAGTTCGTTTTAATGCCACGGTTCAGCTACCTCCTTGTTTTTCTTTTATATTGGCTTTAGGAACTAAAGCATTTTTTAGCCAATTATAGTCCTTCTTTGTTATGGCATGTTATGGCATCAGGTGGAGCAGGTAGAGAGAATCAGTTTATTTTGTTTAACTCTCACTTAAAAATTGAGTAATTGAGTGTTATTGAATATAAGAAACAGGCAACCTATATTAAAATGAGCATATGCTAACTCGGAATATGGGAGATTCGCCTTGTATCCCTACTGTCTCAAATACCAAGGGCTAAACAGTATGTGTTATCAAGTACAATAATGATTGGTTTAAATGATTAACGCAAAAGAAAGCTATGTTTCATTGCCCTTACCTGCCGACATTATTTACAAATCCATGGGTCTGCTAAAGTCCTCCAATTACCAATTCCAAATCTGACATCCAGTAAAAAATGTTTTTGCCTTCAGGCTACCCTTGTGTGCAGCAAAATAATCAACGGTGTAGTAATGCGACACACAGTGCGACCCAGTTAGTGTGAACCCAACATTCGCGTTTGCGGTGACGCACGCACCGACATACAGCGGCTCCCAAGAAACAGTTTTCGCTCGACTCGATCGGCTCCTGAGAGCATCGTATTACGATAACCGATTCATGTGCCACGTCGTCGGCGGAATATTGCCACACGCTAGCATGAGTTCTTCACAATATCCAGATTGCATAACATTGGATAATAATCTCATGGGTCACCATCGTGCTAAGGATACTGCTCTGTCGTTTGGTTGCCATATTGCATCGCGATTTTACCAGTTCATGCCACCGCGAGGTAACCGTACTCAAGAGGATATAAGAGAATTCGGCGTAAGATCATCAGAGAGGCTGCACAGGGAGACTTTACAACAGGACGGCTCCAGAATACGAAGACTGCTCCTCGTCTTCGAAACTATCTTAACTAAATAAAAAGCTAGGTTTTTTACCAACCGTTCCGGACCACTTTTACGTTAGAGTCTGAAACAATTCAAGACGCTATGAGTGGTGACCCGAACGAGTAAGCAACATCTGAACGTAAGACACTACAAGGAGTAACCCGGAGAATACGCCCCTTCTCAAGCAAGCCCATTATCCCGCCGCCCCCTCTCATCTCCGCACCGAATAGAAACTCCCGCCCCGCTCATCTCCTTCGTCTCCCGGAGGCTACTTCCACCTCCTGACCTTCCAACTCCCGGACAGAAACTCAACGACCGAACATCATCACGGTTCCTGTTCTTCATGGCCCACGACAAGGCAGTGGTGAGACCTCTTGACGAAAACGCGAATCTCGGCAAACGCTTCACGACGATCTCTGCCGCTGCCACACTCTCAAAAAAGCCCGTGCATTTTCTTTCCCGCAGGACACGCGGACAGCTAATCATTGCTGTTTGCGGAATCAGCTCAGCGAATGACAATACCAAAGCGTATGTTTAGACCAAAAAGCGAAGTCTGCGATGTTGCATTAAGCAATGCAAAACGTCACGCTTGTATTCCTTGATGCTGCATCGCAGACTTCGCTTTTTAGTCTTAAGATATGTTTCGGCATTGTCATTCGCTGAGCTGATTCCAGAAACAGCAGTGATTGGGTGTCCGCGTGTTCTGCGGGAAAGAAGACGCGCGGGCTTTTTGTAGAGTGCACCGCCCTCGCAACGCCAGCCCCCATCTTCTCCGCGGGACGCGTGAATCATTTCCGCCCCAACTTTCAGCACCACTGCCCGCGACTCCATCATCGCGCCTACCGCCTCCGTCACCATCACCGTTGGTGAGTCCCATCATCATTTTTGAGACCACGTCCTTGAATCCACCGCGCGGTGCAAGCGGCCAAGCAAGACACAGAAAGAAAGCTATCTGCATAGACATGCCGCCGCGCCTTCAAGGCTGCACCCCTCTGCGTGCAGTTTGTCGCGAGGCGCCTACAGCTCGAACACACCGCGTACTTCTACTTGAGCACGTCCACGCGGACAACCCACCGCAAGCAGGAACCCACCACAAGCGACAAACCACCGGCCATTCACCGCAATCGTCACGCTCTCTACTCAGCGCGGAATCATCTATACGGTCGACTCAACCACGCGGAGCCTCAACGCAGACACGTTACTGCGAACAATTCATTGGTGCATTCCTCACGCTAACCTCACGCGCGTGGTTCGCGCAGGAGTCCCGCAGTATGTTGTTGTTGTTGTTGAGTGTTGTTACACACGGGAAGAGGGGATGCCTGCACGTAATGTTAGCCTCCTTGGGCAGGGGCAAGACTCGCACAGGCGGGGAAAGAGGGTGAGAAAAGAAGAGAAGAGGGGTTGGGGTGTGATTTGGTCACCAATCTCTGGATGAGTAGGGTCGAATCAGGAGGCTATTTTCTTGAGGGAGAGGGGACACTGCAGAACTGTCTTCTGGAATGGAGATCACAAATTAGTCGATGACAGTTGAGACGAGAAGGCGTGGCTGGTCTAGGTGGCGGGCCGGTGGGCTAGAGGCGCGTTGCAAGTCCAGTGGCTTTGAGGTACTCAAGAAGAGATTTATAAACAAGTTTTCTTCTTCGTCGACCTCCGGTAGGAAAAAGGATTTCGTTCTTTTGAGTCACAGTTGTGCTGCCACTTAGGATGGTGGTAAAAAAGGACCGTCGAGCTTGATCGTAGTGAGAACAATTTAGGAGGACGTGGTCAAGGTCCTCTGGGACATTGCATTTGGCACAGTTGGGTGTACTAGACCTGGAGATCTTGTGAAGTGTCGTTGATGTCAAAGATGAAAGAGCGTGTTGGTGGAAATACGGGAGTCAAAGAAAGAATAAAAACACTTAAGGACAAGGACAGACAGCACAGTTCTTTCATCAGAAAGAACTGTGCTGTCTGTCCTTGTCCTTAAGTGTTTTTATTCTTTCTTTGACTCCCGTGTCGTTGATGTGTAGGCGCAGTTTGCACGAAGGCGATGGAGCAGCGTGGAATCTGATCTGGTTAGTTTTGACTCGGGGAGCGATGGAGGAGGATTCCCGCTTGCAACTTCTGTATGGGGGTGACGCATTGTGGTAATTAATTTGCACAGTCTGCGCGCTTCGCAATAACGTGGGATGAAAAGACTGGGTTCTTCTTCCTTGTGTGCCTTTGAAGCAAGGGCATCGGCGCGTTCGTTGCCGGGGATACCCATATGTGACGGAATCCATTGAAAAGCCAACTGCCACCCTCGCATACAAAGTTTTCGGGCCTTGTCGGCCACACATTGGGCCAGAAAAGGAGCTTGGTCTGAAGCTTCCAAATTGGATAACGCACTTCGAGAGTCGGAGAGAATAACAGTCTTGCAAGGATTGAGGTTGTGAAGCGCATCTAATGCCGCTGCTAGTGCAGCCAGCTCCGCTGTCGTGGACGTGGTTGCGAAGTTGAGGCGGTGTGATGCTTCGATTCCGGCATCGGGAATGACGAATGCCGCTGTAGATGTTGCAGTTGTGGGATTCGTTGACCCGTCAGTAAACACTTGGAGCCAACCATTGTACGTGCTTGTCAGTTGGTCAGCTACAAGCGACCTTCCAACAGTGGTTGAGATAGAATTCTTCTTCGGGAAATAAGGAAGCGTTTCTTCTACAATGTACGGCGGTTGGGTTATAAAAGGTGCCGGAGGAAAGTAATGGCTATTAGGAGGTCCAATTTGTAAATTAAATTCTTGTACACATCGACCTATCTGCGAATCAAACCGCTCTTCAATGTTGGACAGCAGTGATGTCGCAGATCGTGCTCCATACATACGAGTGATATGATTCATTGCTCTTATTCTTATATGCCTAGCTACTGTTTGATCCTTGGCCTCTACGAGTGTCGCCGTATTGCCCACGAAGCGTGGCAGTCCAAGGCACTGACGGAGGGCAACACGGTGAAAACGTTCGAGTGTGGTCATTTGATGAGCCTTGATTCTGATGAGAGGTAGGCTGTATAACATTCTTGAGAGGATAAGGCCACGATAGAGAATCAGAAGTCCCTGAGGAGGCAGTCCAGATTTCTGGCGATGGAAGTGACGGAGCACAGTTAATAATTTAGTGCACTGCGTTACAAGTCGTTTTATCTCGGGTCTCCATGTAACGTGGTCATCTATTTCCATCCCCAAGTATCGGTACGTTGAGACTCTCTGGATCGGTATTCCTTTAATGGTTGGCGTATTTGCAACTTTGCGGTTTGGATGTCGACCAGGGCGGTAACAGAGGAAGGCTGTTTTGCTTGTAGATAAAGTAAGTCCTAGTTCTTCTAGAGTAGAAGTCGTGCTGTCAAGAACTTTCTGAAGCCTTTTGCCGATGGTCCTTGACAGTCTGGATGGACCGACACACCAAATTGCCACATCATCGGCGTATATCGTCATGTGAACTGTTGTACTGGACGTTTCTGCGGAGTTTATGCATAGCGGAAGTTCTGCCATGGTAAGGTTAAACAGAAACGGGCTCAGTACACTTCCTTGGGGAACGCCTTGGGTCACCGACCGACGAGTGCTAAGACATTCGGCAGCTCTTACTGTTAGGCTGCGGCCAGTGAGGAACGCGGCGATATAGTCGTATGTTCTTCCACCAATTCTGTACCGTGTAAGTTGACGCAGAATAGTATGATGTGGCAGGGCATCGAAAGCTTTGCATATGTCCAAAAATATGCAGTAGACTGTTTGGTGAGTTGAACGTGCATCTTCAAGGCTCGAAACGAGATCAGCAATGGCGTCAAAGGTGCACCTCCTTCGTCGGAATCCGCAGAGTTGATCTGGCAGTGCTCCTTTGGATTCAAGCAGCCACGTACGTCTTGAAAGTACTAGTCTTTCCATTAATTTCCCGACACAACTGGTGAGAGAAATTGGCCGGTAGGATTCAATCCGATCACCGGGTTTTCCTTGCTTTCTGATAGGAACCACTACAGAGGTGAGCCATGCTGCAGGGATTTTTGCCGTTCTCCATATGTTGTTGATAGACTCCAGTAAGGCCTCTCTATGCGGGAAAGAAAGATTTCTCAGTGCTTGACACGTTACGCCGTCCGGTCCCGGAGCGGTTCGACGGCGCGAGCGTCGGAGGGCAACATCAAGTTCAGTGATGGTGAAGTCAGCGTCCATTTCTGAGCAAGGATTTGTTTTCAATGGAACTGGAGGCTTGTCCCTGTATCCCTGTGGTGGCGGAATTGGGGCAGCGAACGCATCAGCAAGAAGCTCCGCGGTTTCTTGAGTAGTGCGGCCTAGGGCTAGCGCTAATCCTGCAACGGGATGCTCGGGTTGCTTTTTATCTTTCAAGACTCTGACGATCCTCCATGCTCTCGAAATACCCGATGGGGAACCAAACGACTCACATAGTTGGTTCCACTGTAGGCGTTGGAGGCGCTTAGTATATCGTCGAAATTTGGCATCGATCTTGCGATGTTCATTCCAATCATCCAGATCGTCTGTTTTTCGGGCTCGTCGCTGCGCGCGGCGTCGAGCAGCCCTTAGGTTTAGGTACATGAGGTCGGGAACAGGCCGGGTGTATGGTACTCTAATGGTCTTTGTTGACAGCTGAATGGCTCGTGCAATCATGGCTGTTGTGTCTTCTGTCGTGCTGCCAGCTAGAGCAAAGTCCATGTGAGATCGGAATACATCCCAGTTGGTAACTCGAACCTCTCTGTAAGTTTTGTTTGTCTTTTTGGCAAACTTGCTGGTAATCATGATCGGTATATGATCACTGCCCCAGGAATCGGCCAGCACATTCCAATCTGCCAATATATCCGGGGACAGGAACGTCAGGTCTAATACACTGCGGCCAACTCCAGGTCTGATGAACGTTTCCGTACCGTCATTAAGGGCTTCTAAATGAAGTGAAGATGTCATACTATCAAGATCAAATCCTCTTCTTGTATTTTTGCGGTCACCCCATAGAGTCCCGCAGTACGCAACGCAATACGTGCCAGTTTCTCGGACACGGAACTCTGGGCACGGAGTTTGCTGCAAGCCACTCGCTGCACTCAGCTCACCGCGTTAACGTCAGCGCGAGTACGTTCAAGCGGCATTCTCACCGTAAGTCAAATCACCGCAAGCGCCTCACCGCCGGCCACACACCGCCACGTCATACCACCGCCTGCTGCCCAACCCGAGTACCACGCGGCCGACTCAACGCGGGGCCTTGGCATGGCCACGCTACTGCGGGCGACCCTCTGACATTTCTGTCGCTCCAGGCTCACGCGAGAAAACCACGCACGTGTCCCAGAGAGACTAACACACGCGATGCACGGGCTACGCCTCTGACTTTTCCCGACGGCCCACACAAGGTTCTGTAGCACCGACCGGCGCCACTCACGGTCGGCGCTCACGAAAAGAACTAAATGATTGCCGCTCATCATCGAAATCTTTATCTTTCGCATCAACTCTTCTCGTCGTCCTCCCGAAACCATCATCGCCCCGAACGTCCAGCGACCAAAGATCCAGACACGCTCCGGCCGCCACGTGCATTTGCCACAACGCCTGGGCATCGTATCTCCTCCGACACCTGCCACGTACGCCTCACTCGCTCACCCGTGGCGAGACGAAAGCCTAGGCTCGGAGAACAGCATTCTAAAAACGTTCGCCTACTCTTTGGGGTGGCTCTCCGATGCTCTCAGCTCGGCTCCTGAGAGCATCGGATTAGGATACCCGATTCAAGTTCCGCGTCGTCGGCGGAACACTGCCGCACGATTGTATTAGTTCCGCGCAATATCCAGATTACATAATATTGGATAATATCTCATGGCTCACCATCGCAACACGGATACTGCTCTATCGTCTGGTTGCCGTATTGCCTCGCGATTTGACCACTTCACGACACCGCGAGGTAACTCTACGCACGAAGGTAGAAGAGAGGCCGGCGCAAGATCATCAGGAAATAGTGCACAGGGAGACCACCACAGAACGGCACCAGACTACGAAGACTGATCTTCGTCTTGGGAACTATCTTAACTAAATAAAGAGTTGGCATTTTTACCAACCTTTCCAGACCATTTTTGAGTTCCGGTCTGGAACAACCCAGAACGCTACACGCTTATTCACACTTTACCGATACAATCTTTTATCTCAAAGTCTAAATGTAAGTTGGAACAATACATGAGCACATTCCAATTTACTAGAATATTTAATAAAAAATTTTCAAATTCGATAAAAAAAAAAACGCGACGGCGTGTTAGTGCTTACTGCATTGGGCTGGTTAATTTTTCGGAAATAAAGCTCAATAGGATATCGTCTTTTCAAGCAGCAGAAAGTGTATTGCGGTGCTATAGAAGTATTTAGCTATCTTACGAGAAACTCAGGCAACAAAGTAAAGGTAGAGGCGCTACTTGTGACGAATCTAGCCGGATATATCCAGCTGTGCTTTTGCGGTTTTTATTCGTGCGTCTCAAAAATTTTTAGATGAACTGCTAGCCCGGGTTTTTTTAACGTGAACCAGGTAATAGTGATAATCGACCGCATGGCGGGACGATGCCAAATTGAAACGGGAGAGGGTGGGGTTTGAATTCAAGATCCCTGGGTGCCGCAGCGCGACCTTTCGCTACATGTGCTCCGAGCTGGTGTGTGCTAGTGTGTGCTAGCCCACTCGGCCGCCGATCCCCCCTTTCGTATCGAGTTCATAGCAACATCATCATCGCGTTAATATGCTGTGTAGAGTGGCGCGTTTTGTATTGCCATCTGTTATGGCCGTTCGAACGTTCTCGAAGCTGGAAGGCCCTTTTAGCGCTTGGTAGTATACTCGTACTTTGTTTCATGCATAATGTTCTTCCGGAAGAGAAAACATGCACTCCTTTTTTCGCGGGTGCACTGCACGCCCACTACTGTCGTATTGTCACCTTGAATCAGGCACGTAGCCAGGGGGGAGGCCCATGGGGCCCGGCCCCCAGCAAATCTTCCATTTTGCTGGGACCTCCTTTCCCCCCTCCCTCTCATAAAGAATTTTTCCATAAACGGCCCCCCCTCCCCCCCCCCTCCCCCGCGAAACAAAATCCTGGCTACGTGCCTGCCTTGAATACCTCTGAGGTATGCCCAGCTCAGTGAGTTAGCTTAAACATGTCCTTGTGACTTATGTCGGTCTGAAACTTGCGGGCAAGCTAGCCCAATCGGAACCCTTTTAATTGTGTTTTTAATTGTTCTTTGATATTTTAACGTTCTTTCTAAGGTGGTCTATAACAACCTATAAACATTTGCGAAATTTCTTAATTAACAACATGCTTAATACAGATATGTATCAGGTATCTCGCAGCGTTTGTTTTGTGGCAATACCTCCTGGACATTTCGTGTTCAGTCTGTTCACCTTTTTATTTAAATACTAGAGTTCTAAAGTCGGCGAAAAGTCAGTAATGCAATCGATGTTCCGCCTCCACCGCGAGATTTAGCCTCTGAGGAGATTTCCACGCACGTGTAGCCAAATTTCGACGGGAGGAAAGGAGAGCGTGCTGCGTGGCTGAAAAGCCTTTTTTGCGATATATGTGTCCGATGTGCGGTACTTTGAAACTCACCTGAAGTGGCGCCCGCAGACAGAGTTCCTCTGCGTAACGGACCAGGACTGGCCAAGGCGCGGATAGCTTGATGAAGTGTATCGCCTTGTGCTCGCCTTCCACCAGCTCCTGAAATTTGAACGACCCCGTTGGGAAACGGAAGCATACCTTTGCTTACTTTTACCTTAGGTCAAAGCGAAGTTTCGAAGATCGCCAGGTACAGTTTAACAGAACAAAAGTTTAAGGTCACGAGCGTTCCGTGAGCATGATTGGTCCAACCGGTGATGACATACACATAGAGACATCGAGCGGAGCGACGTTACGGTTTTTGGCACTGCTTGATTCATGGAGGGAGGAAGCTTCTGTTGGCGACATGACGCTGTGGAGAGGAACACGCCCCCAACGACGACCAAAACCAGGAGACGCTATTGGACGAGAAGGAGTTGGCGTCAAGTCAGCTCTCCTTTTCGTCAAATAGCGCCTCTTGGTTTTGGTCATCGTGAGTACCGTGTCCTTTTCCACAGCATTATGTCGCTTCCAGAAGCTTCCTACCTCATGCATGGCTTGATTAGCCCTATCGACTCGCAGAGTGTTCTGCATTCCTCTTACGGTGAAACGAAGTATATTAAAACTTCCCTGCACTGAGGTTACAAGGACCAGCAGCTCTGTGGTTCGTGCTGGCTATGAGTCGTGTTTGCCAGAATTAGATATTGAGGAGCGAGATGATCGACATTCATACCTCCATAATAGGAAGGGAGGTCGCCATAGATGTGAGTTTGTTACCATGCATTTGCACGTATTTAGGAAATTTGATAGGATAATAGCATTGTCTTTTATTTGCGAATTTTATATTTAATGCTTGCCCAGTTGTAATTTGTTCACCTCAAAGTGAGTATGGTTGGTAGAAAAGCATACGAATACTGTGCTTTATATTCTATGCCCTATTTAAGAAAACCAACACTTACACTTCTACGTAAAATACGACCTATGCCCTTAAGTTTGGGTATATAACATTTTTTTCTTCAGTAGGGTATTGTTTTATGCTGATGTTATCAAAATAGCTTTAGGTTATAGTAGTAATAATATTTATTGACTTTAGCCAACGCCTGAAAGAGTGCGTTAACCGAAATGGGAACCAGTTTACTGCGAGTTTAATGATCTCACCTCCTCCATGTCCAGGCCGGCCTTGCGCAGGTTGGCCATGAATGTTTGCCGCCACCCGTCGTGTTTGTTCAGGCGAACGCCCTCGCTGTCCTCGTAAACGAGCACGTAGTCTGCGTTTAAGGTAGATACATATTTCGAGAGTGAGGCTCACACGCTAATGCACCTCCATTAAGACGAAGCGCATTGAAGCATTTTCACAATCGCATTTTGCTGTCACAATTTGTGACCACCTCCGGAGTTCACGTCTCTGTTTCATTAAACAAAACGCAAACGAGTGGTCGACTGCGTTTAAAGTACTTTAATTTTATAATTTTGAAATACTCTGACGATACGTTTAATGATAATCATAATTATTATTATAATCTTTATTTCGACCCTAAAGGATTGAGGTGTACCCGAAGGGCCGGTGGCCCGTACCAGTTGGCCGTAGTACGCCGAAATACAGCAAGGAAGCAAAAATCAATAAACAAATAAATAAGGCTATTCACAAGTTTGGTATAATGTTTGGTGAGTATAAACAAAAAAAAAAGTGAAAGCCGTTTACCATTCCCTGTAACGCCGAATTGGAGCGCAGCTCTTGAGGAGGAGGAGGGAAGGGTACTGAGGGCCAGGGTTTCTCGGGGGGGGGGGGGGGGGGGGGCGGTCACGTGATATAGAAAAAAGGGTCACGTGACCCCTTCCCCGAGGGCACGTGACCTTGTTTGGTTCACGTGACCTTGGGGGAGGGGGTCCACGTGGAAGGGGGAGTCACGTGACCTCGGGAGGGGGCCACGTGACCTGGGGGTGTCACGTGACCTCGGGGGAGGGGTCACGTGACTCCCCAGGTCACGTTACCAAAATTTCCCCGCTAGATTTAGCGGAGAAATTTTCCCGCTAGATTTAGTGGGGGAATTTTTCCTCTAGATTTAGCGGGGAAATTTTTCCGCTAGATCTAGCGGGGAAATTGTTCCGCTAAATTTAGCGGGGAATATTTTCCGCTAGATTTAGCGGGGAAATTTTTCCGCTACATTTATCGGGGAAGTTTTTTCCACTAGATTTAGCGGGGAAATTTTTCCGCTAGATTTAGCGGGGAAATTTTTTCGCTAGATTTAGGGGGAAATTTTTCTGCTAGATTTACCGGGAACATTTTTCCGCTAGATTTAGCGGGGAACTTTTTCCGCTAGATTTAGCGGGGAAATTTTTCCGCTAGATTTAGCGGGGAAATTTTTCCGCTAGACAGCGGGGAAATTTTCCGCTAGATTTAGCGGTGAAATTATTCCGCTAGATTTAGCGGGGAAATTTCCCGCTAGATTTAGCGGGAAAATTTACCCATAATGCACCGCGCGGTTACGCCGACGGCGACGCCGACGCCGCTCAAGCCGGAAACGGGCGCCTAAGAGCTGCGCTCTAAAATGAAGTGCGGTACGGCGACTATATACAAAAATGATATGTGGCTTACCGACTATGTACAATGATGCTGCACTGCTTGGCGATAGATCGTCCTTATGTTGCATGTGTCACTAGGTCAGCAGTTGGGTATGTGAACGCCTTGCCCTGTGGAAGGGCGTTCCCTTGGGGTGTGTGTATGTTTATACATCCTGAACTTAGTCTGCCTCAACGTGCGACTTGTCTCCCAACTGTAGATGAGAAATTTAGCCAGAGCAGCACAACCGCCTAAGGTCTTTAACGAGCATCATGCAGTAGTGGTACACTACCGCACACCTGTACGATGCTCATCCAGATCGAAACGGGCAGGGTTGGGGATTGAACCTAGTATCCCTGGGTAGGTTGCGCTAGAACTGGGAGACGTGCCGACCGCTGCGGCCTCTCCATAGGAGCTGAGAATCCGAGTTCCCGAAACGCGAGCTTCGGGATCTCGGAGGCCAGGAGCTGAGTGTCGTGCGGCCCGATTCTGCCGCAGGTGCCTGCGGAGACGCTGCCAGTCCCAGCGGCGCTAGAAGGCTGGTTGGGCAGCGCTTAGTGAGGCTGACTTGGGGCGTGTTTGTGTCACTATTTCTGCTTGTTTTCCGCTTTTTGTGAAGCGATACAATATTGTGTGGCTGCTAGCTGTTCTGAAGAGGCAAGGGACTCATAACGACGTCAAATACTGTTAAGAAAAAGACGGGGCGGTGGTGTCCTGTGACGGGGTGCAACATTGATTACAACAGACGCAAAGAGAAACTCCTTCTTTCGGACGAAGAGTGACACCTTTCTGTTCGTTGAATGGGATCGTCTTATACCAAGAAAAAAAAAGTGTACAGAGTCAAGCGATCGCATTTATTTCTCAAGGAAAAACATCAAAACCGGCACAAAAAAAAAAAATAGAAGTCCCAGAAGAATGTGCTACCTGTATGACATACCAGAGAAAACAATTTTCTCCAAGTGGAAGTACTCTACAAATAAAGACAGCCATTAAAGTTGCTCCATTGATCTGGCCAGTCTTGGTGTTTATATTCATATGGTTCATGCTCACTAGATAAAATGAATTCAGACAATTCTTGGTCTGTAAGCTCTGGCTGAGAATGCAAAAGTTAAGAAACGTTTTATTATATTATTCCATGCTACAAAAGAAAAAAGGTGCTTTGACACCATAAAAAAAACTAGGTACTTCAAGGTCTGCAAAATATACAGCGACCAAAAAGTTAATTAAACGAGCTTTGACACCAAAAGTAGAGAGGAAAGTATTGTATATTATATAATATAGTAAAAATTCGCTTTCTTAATGCTGGTTTGTAAGGTGAGATAAATTCTTCTTTCACAGCAAAACGAAAAAAAAAAAAAAAAAATTGAAGACCCAAGATTATGTAAATAATTGTCCCTCCCAAACAGCATTTGCGCTTTAAATGCAAGCTTCTGCCGCTGGCGCAAGTCACGCTTTTTTTAGAGGGGGGTGAGATAACATGGAACGTATTCTTGCTCACAAGCGAGCAGACAAAAACAAACGAAAAATACGACTATTTTCACGCCGAATAAAGCATCGTTGATGGGACTGCAGGTCTCTGTCTGCCGTCGAATGGCCGCGCTGTTATCAGCATGCTTGCGCATCGCGCCACACTCACGGCCGTCGGACGGCACACCTCCCCATTCTATACACCCTACCCTGGGTTCTGCAGCGCAAGCTTTCACTCCACGTGCTCCGGGCTGGTGTGCGCTAGACAACTCGGCCACCGATCCCCCTCGGGCGTTCCGTCCACAGCTGGACAGTGGGTGGAAGAAATGATTGCCGGTGGCGCAGGGTGCTCTCCATGATAGGAGACATGTCATCGTTTTGTGTCCGTCGGATCTGGGAAGGCCAGCGGATCGGAAGCACACGAAGTATGACGCGTCGTGAAGGAGCGCGGAAAGAATGCCATATCATGCCGCAAGCAAAAGGCAGACGAACTACACGGAGTGGCGTTGGAGTTCGCATATCTCTGTAGAAATGGGTGGGGTGGTGCACCCTGCAGACTATCGCGTAGGCTGCACGTGCCTGGAAACTCTTCAATCTTACCAGACGAGTGTCTCGACGAGGGAACCAGATGGGAGTGCCGCACTCACTCTGTAGTCGCACTAGCGTAGTGTATAGCATACGCAGAGAGTATGCTCCGGCAGTAAGAATACGACGTGCATGAGCTATTACTGAATCTATGTGCGCATCCAACTTAAGCCGTTGGTCACGATAACTCCCAGGATGTTCGTTTGAGACTCCCCTTTAGTGTATGGTTGGCGATTTGCAAGGAGTGCTGGTCGTTGTGCTTGCAATGTCTGCTGGTGATTAGCATGGTGGCGCACCTCGAGAGGTTAAAAGGCAGCCGATTGTGGACCGACCACGAAGTAATTTCGTCAATGTTTTCTTGGAGTTGGGTATGTAAACGCCTTGTTTGAAACGGATGGATAATGGTCAGGTCGTCGGCATAAAGGAGGTGTTATTGAGACTTGAGATTATTGGAGACACCATTAATGAACATGTTCAATAGCACTGGTCCTAAGACAGAGCCTTGGAGGACAGAAGAGGTGACCAACCTAAGGGGTCCAACAACCATGAAAGAGAACTTGTTGCTGGCGAGAATTTATGAAATCTGTGAGCCACCTGAGCAGATTTCCTTCGATGCCATAGTGACTAAGTTTGTCAACTAGCTACACGCGGCTAACCTTGTCGAAGGCACGACGGAAATCAAGTTGAACGAGTTCGCAGGGGATTGTTTGAACCGCGGGTTGATCATGCAGCTTTAGGTCAATAGTAAAGAAAAAAATCTGGCGTGTTTATGTTTATACAGCCCGAACTTAGTCTGCCTCAACGGGCGACTTGTCTCTCAACTGTAGATGAGCAATTTAGCCAGGGCAGTACAACCGCTAGCCTGGGTTTTTTAACGTGCATCACGCAGTTGTGATAAACGACTGCAAGCCGGTTAGATGCTCATCCAGGGGTGCTATGTTGCGCTTTTTGGACTCCCAGGAGACTAGGGAGAAGGAAGTGACGTCAACGATACAGCAAACGCAGATTGGATGTTGACAGAAGAAAACAAAATCAACATCCAATCTGCATTTGCTGCGTTGTTGACGTCACTTAATTCTCCCTAGTCTCCTGGGAGTCCAAAAAAGCGCAACATAGCACCCCAGATTGAAACGGGCTGGGGTAGGGATTCAACCAGGATCCTGGGTTCTGCAGCGCGAACTTTCGCTCCACGTGCTCCGAGCTGGTGTGCGCTCCCCCACTGGGCCACTCTTTTAAGAGATATCGGTGGCGGAAGTTAGACGAAAGCGATAAGGCTGTTCGTATTAATTAGGTTTCATAGATTCATAAAAGTCATGCGCTTATTAAGCACCCAGAGCGGTCCACAGACACTAATAGAACACATAACACCGTCAGGTTATCAGCAGTTTTTTTTTTTTCGTTTTAAAATGGTCACAAAATATACCAGCGTAACGAAACGTGTTACATATGTGTGGAACGAACTAAAGATCCTATAAAATATGAGATTCACCACAAAACAGTACGATGCTAAAAACCGCTGATGAGTATGATACTACAAAACGCTGATGCAGGGTTCACTTTAACTGGGTTGTGCTGTATTAGCGCCGAGATGTTTCGGTGGCGCCCTCTTATGATTTCCCTCCGTGACGTCATGACTGGGATTAGCCTCGCCGTGAC